AATGAGTGACTGAACTTCTATCCCTCATTCATTTGTTCAGATTTTCTCAGCTGATGAGTGAGCAGGTTGAAATGGAAAGCCAGTCATCATTAATTCTGTACTAGTCTCATCAACCTACCCCCCAAATTGAGGCCAGATTCATGTTCTGGTTAACCCAGATAACCCGACCTGAATTTCTTTGGCATAGACTCGCTCCTAAGAGTGAATACTGTAGATTTTTTTCCCCACAAGTTTTTAGAGTGTGAATTTAAAATACACATGCACACTTAAAAATGCCCATAGTGTGGACATTTGACAACTTATATGGAGTACTGATATTTTTACACAGCTTAAAAACCAACCAGCTCAGTTAAAATTGTAGATTGATTACAGTAGCATCGTGTACTGCTATAGCAAGTGTGGAGACACTATATTATAGATCCAAAGCCAGGGGATTTTAGAGATTTTAAGTCTTTTTATATGACACGCCACAAAACTAAAGAAATAACTAAATAATGATCAAGATTTATACAGCTAGTAGTTTTTCAAGTCAACATCCATACTGGTAGTTCCAGTTAGAAGTCCAAAGACAATTACTCCTTTCTTGTCCACCATCTGTACTGACCGATACCTACTGAAGCATAATTTAAAGTGGCTACTACCCCTTAATCCGACAACATGTTGGGAAACGTTAGTTTACTCTGGATTTTTGAAAACTACTTTAATTTCCCAAATACGAGGGGTAATTTAAACATTTTGGAAACATGGTGTGTAGCCAGACTGTACGTTCTGTATGTGTGACCTAGATACCCTTTGCGTGGGAACATTTGCCTTGGAACTGCAAGGTACTGCAGACCTTAAACCTCCTTCTTGGCCCATCCTCTGCTTCCCATGTGATGCCAGTGCCAGGAAAGGGAGAGTAGTTCAGGTGCAACAGGAAAGGTAAGGGAGTTAGTGCCCATTCACCTTCCTTCACCCTGCCCCGCCTCACGGGTGCTTTCGGAGGTGGCAGCCCCGCTCACATCATCCCACGTCCCGATCCGTCCCCTAGCCTTCCTGAGCCGTCGAGTTTCTGTAACACATGATGGGATCTTCCCTGATGTGGAGTTCTCTCAGCAAACACTGATCAAGTTGACCAACTGCTTGCTGAGCCTCAGTCCCTACCACCAGGCAGAGAATTCGTTCTCCCACCTCACCACCAGGGTGCAGCAGAGAGAAAAATCTGCGTATTTTCCAGAGTGCAGATTATGGCGACTTGGTTCCATACCAAACAAGCTTCGAGAGGACAAACCAGGAGAGTTAACACCCACTTGGAATACTGTTTAGAAGGGGAAATATTACTGTTTTTCTCAATAATTCCACACACATACATCTGAACTTTTAGAGCATAATTTTTATTTGGGAACTGACTGTAATATACAGAAAACTATGCCACTTTAACCGCCCGAGGACCCCGTCAATGGTTTCCTAAAATCCTCAATCCACTCATCCCCAACACGTGCAAACTTTAAATAACTGGACTTTCAGTCTTTTCCTCATTTCTCTATAATTGTAGATACTGGAACAAAGCCCTTATCTAGAGGAGTTTGAAAAAGTCATGTTCTTTTGAGAAATGTTTTTCCAGGCAAATTCTTACTGTACTTATTCCTCTATTTTTGAAATGTCTCTCAGCTCAATAAAGAGCCCCTCCAATTTAGATCTCTTTTTTAAAATAAACTTTAAACTGGGAGAAAAAAAAAAGATAGTTTTAGCTTGCTCCACATGAAATCTTGATGGGAAACAAGTTCCCTAAATTTATATCCTGAAGAGTTCCTTTAAAAAGTCCGATTTTAGGGGCACCTGACTGGCTCAGTCGAAGGAGCATGTGACTCCAGATCTCAGGGTCATGAATCTGAACCCCATGTTGGGTGCAGAGATTGCTTAAAATGAATAAATAAATTAAAACTTTAAAAGAAAAGTCTGATTTTAAAAACAATTTACAACATTTGCTTCCATTTGTTCATGCAAATCTCAAACCTGTTCCTACAGTGCAGCTGACCTCCAGTTGTACATTTTAAAACATGAGGTTTTATATTATATATATAATATATACATATGTATCTTCTAAATGTTGTGAATATTAACATATCAACCCATCCTAAAGGGGCTTTCTTCTGACGATGAAAGCTTCTCAGAAAAGTTGGCCTTGATTAATGTCATCACTCAATCCTCCCCCCTCACACACTCTTCCTCTGTGTTTCTGCCTAGACCTTGCTCTTTCTGGAAGCTTCAAAGGACGGACAGGTCTGTCCACCTTCTGTTTTTATTCTGCCAAAGGGTTTTGAAGGCTAAATACTAGGGTTTTCAGAATACTTCACAGTAGGTGTTCCAGAGGAAAGTAATTAATAATGACTGCACTTAACATTCTAAATGAACACTTTTCTGTGCTCAAAACTCTCAGGAGAATATTTCATCAAAAGACCCCACTAATCAGGAAGACTGATGCCAGAGATGCCAAAATCAATCCATTGGAAAACACTGGTTTGTAACCTACTTTTTGTGAAAATGTACATTTTGGTAATTTTGCTATGAAATTTAGAATCTCAAGGAACTAAAAAGACACTGAGATAGCGAAGCATTGTATAACTTTGGCAGACAGCAACATTCTCCATTCGGTGGTGGTAAACCTATGAAGCCTAATGTTGTACAGTTTGCTCTTGAAAATCACATTACTTCAAAGTCCAGTAATGTCGATTTTTATTCAGAAATACTTTCATATTCACTAACTGAAAAAGTTTAAATATTCAAAAGGGACAAAAAATTACATGGGTCTTAGAAGCTGGTCAAACATGCGACATTTTAAGAATGACATTTAAATAGTGTAATTTAGCCCTCAGAAGTAATCTACTTATAATTATTACAACTGGAACACAAATATACCATATATTACTCTTTAGATTTTTGTTTTACAGTATGTTCTTGTCAATGGAACACTTCAAAATGTTTAAACCTGACAGAAAAGCATTTTTTAAAAAAAAACGTACCATGGAAGAAAAAAAACCAAAAACACTGAAAACATTCCCATCCTTTATTCGGTGTGGAGATGGGAAATATGATCATAAAAATCCTTATCCCATTCTGGGAGCTCTTTCTCAATATTTACACTTGGGTCTACTGTTATTTAAACAGGACTCTTAAAACAATTTCAGGTTTAAAATTAACATCTTGTCCCTAAGTGAGCAATGTGCCCACTTCCAGCAGTCGTTTTCATTACTATCTCCTCAATGACCCTCTTAAGGGTTGGTTTCTGGGTAACCCAGAGATAGGCAGATCCACACCGTATGAAGCAAATCGGGTCTCCCAGCTGACAACACACACTCAGCAGTCACGTTCAACAGTGAGTTAAACTGCCTTCGGAGTGAACGTGGGAATCAGAACCATCCCTTGGACACTGTCATTCGGGGAATAGCCCTGGATGTGGCATTTTGGAAGCTCTGCATTTTAGAGAAGCAGCCTCGGAAGGAAAAATGAGATGGCTCCTCAGTGAAACGTACCCAGTAAGTCCTTACCTACTCAAGTCCCTCATAGCCCTGACCAAAGGCCACACTCTCCCTCTCTAGCTCAGCCACCGGGATGCGATCGGTGCACCGGAATTGGGGGGGGGGGGGAGGAACCAAGAAGCTAACATTGACCTCAGGGGTGAAGTTAGGGGATCGGGGAGCTAAAAACCCCAGCACCTCTTGAACAGCACAGCGATCTCTGGGGGCCCCACAAGTAGTCTGGGCTGCAGTTTTGGGAAATGGGTGAAACTATTACTAACTCTTCCCTTCTTCCAATCAGAAGAAAATAAAGCCTCTTCAAGGCTTCTTTTCATGGTAATATAAACCTGACTATTAAAAAAGATTAGATGTTTAGGTACAAGAACTCTAAGGAAACAAAGTGAGTCACGGAGAGTGACGTGAACTTCCCGGGGGTACCTCCCCTCTGGGGGCTCAGCCTCCATCCCCCGGGGCCCCTTCTCTCCATCCCAGCCTCTCAGTCTGAGCAGAGTTAATACTGTACTTCTGTCAAAGGCATCTTGCGTTTGCCATCTTGCATTTCCGCTGCACTTACTCTCGCCCTGACCACCCCACATACGCTTAGCCCTTACTTCTTCCAAACATTTCTGGATACTCACTGTTACCGTCTCATCTATCAGGCAACACATATACTAAAATTCAGATTTTTCTTTAACAACAAAGTGCTTAAAACCAACCTATGCAATTGTTTTTCACTTCAGTTTCTGCCAATAAGATCAAACTCGTTTAGGTTTACAAATAATACTGAAAAAAAATAGTGACTCTGAGTATTGTCTCACATTTCCAATAATGTGCCTTCCTTCCCAACTTTCTCTTACAGTAACTGATTCATTTCAGTAACTTAATGAGCTGAACTCTTGTTTGGAAAATAGAGAAGGTACAAATATATAGAATATTTTAGGATAAAAAATTTTTTGAATATAAAAATGCTTTCTATGTTTCAAAATAACACTTTTAGATTCTTCTTGTAGTTTTGGGTTTGGTAACTAAGCTGTTAAGGTTTTTTAAAAAAATAACAAGAGATAGTACCATGGTTTTAAATACAAACTTACATAGGAACCAATCACACCTGTGGACCATCCCCATGGAAAGTTCAGTTGCTCAACAAGAAAACCCCAAATACTTTAGTCATAAAATAAAATTCCAAGATGTCCAAGATAGAGATCGATACGCCTTACTGATTGCCCGAGCTGCCTGGCACGGCTTCGGTACAACAGAGAACTGTGTAGCAAGCAACCTCTACAAAGTGTGCAAGTGCTGCAAATCGGACATGGGAGGGGGCAAGGCCCTGGGGACCGCGTGCGTCTCCTTCAGCCCTTGCCCGGCCCTGTGCTCTGCATGGCTCCCTGCGTGCGCCGCTGTCCAGGCGCCACTCGCGGCCGCGAGGAGACACGAGTCAGGCGAGCGCTCTTGTCAGCTGGCATCGCGTCACACCATCGGGTCCCCGTCACGAGCCGTGGGAGCCTAGATGAGCCTCGAGCTCTTCAGGAACTGAATGAGAACTCGGTACACGAACGTGTACTGGCAGAGGGTCTGCACCATCATCATCCTCTGCTGCCGCAACATGTCCAGCGCCCGGGGGATGTCCAGCACCTGGATGGAGAGACGGGGGTGAGTGGGATGCAGTCCCCCGCAGAGAGGGGAGCAGTCCCAGCGGAACTCCGGTCAAGACACGGACACTTTCCTACGTTAGCATCTTCTAGAAGAAGCCTCCGGGGAACTTGTTCAGAGAGAACTGGGAGGCCACCAGTTCCCTTCTCCCCCCGACCAACAAGGACCTCGTACCTCATTGTGCTCCAGACAGGCGATCATGATCTCCGACAAAATGACGACGCCAGTCCTTCCCACCCCAGCACTGCAATGGACCAGCAACGGAGGGTTGGGACTTCTTGGTTCACTGGTACTATTTGTATGGCGTCGAACAGACTGGATCTCCTCAAGGTATGCTGTGGAATATCAAAGAAACAGAAAATTAACAGGCATTAAGGCCCATCAAAGTGACAATTTCCAGATTATCATCACTGATTGGGAGGACTCCGGAAAAAGAGCCCCGGGTGCCAATTAACCACCCCCAACTGCTAACCGATCACAGTGTTGATCGTCACTGCCTCCGCTCCCCTACAAAATGAGGTGGAGGAGACAGTCTCTAAGAGTCCTTCTACTCGCCACCAAACCATACTTTAAAAACTTTTTTCTGTTAAGCCTCCTCTAAACCCTTAAAGCCTTTATTTTAAAGCAAGTCCAGCGGCGCCTAGGTGGCACAGTGGGTTAAGCGTCTGCCTTCGGCTCGGCTCATGATCCCAGGGTCCTGGGATCGAGCCCCGCATCGGGCTCCCTGCTCAGCAGGGAGCCTCCTTCTCCCTCTGCCTCTGTCGTGCTCCCCCAGCTCATGCTCTCAATCTCTCTCTCAAATAAACGAATAAAATCTTAAGAAAAAAAAAATAAAGCAAGTCCAAAGCCTCTATGAGACATCATAAAGGAAATATTTTCAGGAGCCGAAGTCTTCCTCTGTGTGGACGATGTAAGCAGAGGCTGTGCTGGTACGAAGACACTTACATAAGAAGCCCGTGAGGCCCTCGGGACAGCCGTGCTCGGGCCAGTCTGTGTACTGGAGATGCCAGACAGTCCTCTCCTGCCCCGTGAGCAGGTGCTTCAGCTTCAAGCCTGTGGTGGCGTAGCAGCCAGAGTCCGTGCGGAACCGTGTTGTGATCTTAAACCTCCCGTAGGTGACCGTGTTGTGCCGGGAACCCAGTCGTGGCCAGTACCTGAAGCTCTTTTCCCTGCCGCCCTCCTGTGAAGGACGCGTGCGGTCAGAACACAACACCAGATCCAGCAGCGGAGACCCTTTCATACAGACTGCACGTCCGAAATGCAGAACCGCAACCCCACCCTGTCCCTCCTCCTTTAAAGGTCAGGAGCCCCCAGGATCAACACGAACTGTTCTCAGGCTGAGAAAATCAATTAAGGGAAATGAGCACTTACCTCTTCTGCGGTCACCATTGCTATAATGGCAATTCCCTGTTCCCACACCATCTGCCAAAAGTCCTGACAGGTATTCTGTAGTGGCCCCTGTGTGGCAATATAATCCCACTCAATTCCACTGACAGAGACCTGAAATTAGAAAAGAGTTTTTAAAAAAATTAATGTGTGGAGCGCCTGGGTGGCTCAGTCAGTTAAGTGGCCGACTCTTGATTTCGGCTCAGGTCATGATCTCAGGGTCGTGAGGTCGAGCCCCACGGTGGGGGCCGCGCTCAGTGGGGAGTCTGCTGGGGATTCTCTCTCCCTCTGCCCCTCCTCCCCCGCTCTCTCTAAATAAATCTTTAAATATTAATTAATGTGCATGTGTATATATGTATGCATGCAGGCATATATGCGCATTTGTTTATGGCAGTACGAAAAGATGAACTGAATTATGCAGAACAAAGATTTTTCTTATCCCTTTTCCTTGTTAATACAATTCCCATTACTACCTATTTATAAACTTACACACTCTGAATTCACATAATATCTATGTGACCTGGGACAATTTGCTTAACCTCTTTGACCCTCTGCTCTCATCTGTAAAATAAAAATGTCATGTACCCTCATCGCACCGTTGGCAGAATTAAATGAGGCAATGTATATGGTGCCTGTACATAATAGGTTCTCAATAAATAGTTCTTATTGCTGTTATGATTCTTCTTCTTATAAAAATAGTATCAACATAAGAGTATGCTAAATTTCAAACACAGTTTCCCCTCATGAAGTATTAAACACATTGGGAGAAGTAGGAACAATTAAACCAAAACCAAGGTTAAATACCAGATTTCTAGGACAGAAAAAATATTCCTGCTTAAAGTGGTCTTGCCTCTGAACTTGAGTCAAGATCACCCCCCGGAACGGATTCTAAGTTTCCACCTGAGGCTGCACCTCCTTGAGAACAGGGTAAGGTAGCAGAGTGGTCGCTGGATCCATAGTCAGGAGATCTGGGGTAAAGCCCATGCCCGCTGACATTTGGGGACCACAGTGGCTGCTTCCCAAGGGCCCCGTGCTACTCTGCCCACAGCCACATTCAAGGCTGCCGGCCCAGAGTCTCGGCTGCATCCCCTCACTGACGGCGGGCGCACTCAGCGGCCAGCCCCGGGTGCTAGCAGCAAACAAGGGGGAGGGCTCTGTGGACAGGCCCGAGGGGGAGGTGTCAGCGCTTTATTCAGAGGAAAGCACAGGGAGGCCCGGCGCTGGTAAGCGGTAGGTCTAGGAGTTCCGAGGCTCAGCCGCCTTGCACTGGTCTTCAGTTGGTCCCTGAAGATTCTGCTATACCCACATAGGACAATGACTTTATTCAGTTCTCATCCATCCTGTCATGAGACTGGATGAGTTATTCCACCAAAATGCTCGGTTTTTAAATAAATTATACCCATATTAAAAAGCACATGCACAGATTCCCCAAGACCACCAAGGGCACCCGCGTTTGCAGGCAGACTGCCAGGTCTCCGGAAGCCCCAGGCGTGAACCTGCACTCATCAAATACCACTTGCAAACGAAATAAAATGTGGGAAAGAAGAAAAACTCCTGACCGTGGATACTTCCTCATTCACTCCCAATAAGGAAGCGTCGTCTCCTTCCCAAAATGAACACACTGGGTCTCCAGCCAGCACACACAAAAGGTACAATGCTGCAGAAGACAAAGCACCTGTCTCCTCACCTCCCAGTTGGGGATCAGCATCACCTTTTCCCATCTCACTGGGTGTAACATTACCCCAGTTAAATGGCATGACACTGTCTCCAAGGAAAAAGTGGCACCGCTTCTCCAAAGAACAAAATGATGCTGAGAAGTGATCACAGGGAAAAAGCAGAAAGAAGATGTCACCATCATAAGGAAAAGCTTTGGTGAACACCATTAAAAAACCCAGATGGGGCGCCTGGGTGGCTCCGTCGGTTAAGTGTCCCACTCTTGGCTGTGGCTCAGGTCAGGATCTCAGGGTTGTGGGATGGAGGCCCTGTGTCCGGCTCTGCGCTGAGCCAGGAGTCTGCTCTGGACTCTCTCCCTCTCCCTCTGCCCCTCCGCTGCCCGCTCTCTAAAATAAACAAACCAACCAAACCACGTAAGAATCAATGCAGGTATGTGATAACAGAAAACTAGCAATTCTGCCGTTCTGGAGAGAATTTATGCCAGAAAGAGATCTTCAGATTTATAGGAACAAAGACCTAACTAAGGTCAGGCAGAAGAGCGCTCCCTGAGTCCTGGCCACAGTGCTGGGGGCAGAGGGGCTTAGCACGTGGGAGGGGAAGACGGCTTTGGCTCTGCCGGTAAACACTTGCTACCCAGCCACGGTGTACGGATTTCCCGGTTTACAACATGAGTTCTCACAAAGGCCCCAACTAGGCTGTTTTTAGACTGCAGACAAGAATACAGTTCTTACCGTTCTCGTAACTGAACTCGCAACTTCACAGCCGTTACGGCCTCGCCCACTGCTCTTACCTTAATATGTGACGCGTTGATGTAGCCAGTGTTGTTTTCTTTAGTTGGGACCAGCTCCACTCTGGCGTCGTCGTAGGGAAGGACATCTTGGAATCGATTTCTTTCTGCGTTTTCAGGGAGTCGTGCTGTTGAGCACTCCCCATCAACTAGCCGTTTTTTAAGAATTTTTTCATATTCTGTGAATACCATTCCCTGTTCTAACCTCTGTTCCAGAATTTTACACTGTAAAATGGAACACACGGAATAATATGAGTATCGTCACACGTCCAAGCTGCATTCCGATGGCGCATCTGAAATCTTCTTTTCTGCTTCAAGTTTAGCATTATCTAGTACTGAAAACTCTAGATGACATCAAAACTAAATTTTCAACAAGCCGTAACAGGAAGAGTTAAAATAACAAAATCACCTTGTTGGTGAGAAGCAGAATGGAGAGTTCTGTTTAAGGGTGAAAACTGGCCGACAATAATTTGAATTCATTTTCTCTAAATCTATGGTCAGTTTGTGACCCTAAGGAAGAGAAAGTTCTCCTGGACAACAGTAAACCCTAGGGTAGGAGAATCAGTTCCAGTCTCTATGAACAAATGCTTCAATTTTCTAATCTATGATATACAAAAACTGAAAAAAGTAGTAAATATTGAAATTATCTCCAGAATCCTGTTGTAAGCAAATTTTTACTTAGCATTAATTCATGCCTGTCTGATTTTGATACAATAAAACCTCATAGCAAATATATCTTGGTCACAAAGAAAGTCATGAAAAATTCAGTAACTGCTTACACCTGAGATAAATTTTCAATACAATGAAAGTAGTCAATGTCTGCTCTCTTTCCCGGTTGTACTCATATGGAGTAGAATTCCTTGTAGAATTCCTCTAACTTAAAGCCATCAAAAATCAAGACTGCTGCAGATGGCCGGAAGAAGGTAAAGAACATTCAGGAACAAACAAACAAAAAAAAAATCAACATTTACTCTAAAATTACCTATTAACAGATTTGCCCCAATTTTTGACATCCAGATTATAAAATGCCTTAACACTCACAATAATTAGACGTATTAGCAAATTCACTAAAATCCGAAGGCATTTTTGTAGCGTGTTAGGGGCTGTCCCAGAGAAAGCATACCACTCGCTCTATACATCTCATACGTACCCTCTCGTCATTGGTGGCTCTGGCGGGCACTTCCTTTCCTTCATCAGGCAGAGGCAGTCGGGATAGGGAGAGTCCATTTAGGGCAGCCAATTTGAGAGGACCAATTTTTTTTGCATCTACCCGGCTCTTTTTCATTCCCTATAAAAATATTTATATGTATATATGAAATATACACAAATACACCCCCCCCCCCGGAAAAGACACTTCAGGGGACTGAGGACTGGAAACAAACAGAAGGAGTGTTCTTCTTCGCCAACACCCACAGGAGAGGTTACACACCACACACACGTTTGTTTAAACAAACACTGGGAGGGGGCGCCTGGGTGGCTCAGATGGTTGAGCGTCTGCCTTCGGCTCAGGTCATGGTCCCAGGGTCCTGGGATCGAGTCCCGCGTCGGGCTCCCTGCTCAGTGGGGAGCCTGCTTCCCCCTCTGCCTCTCCCGCTGCTTGTGCTCCTGCTCTCTCTCTCTCTGTCTTTCATGAATAAATAAATAAAATCTTAAAAAACAAAACAAAACAAAAAAAAACACTGGGAGGAAGACATTCCTTTCAAGGCCAAAGCCCTGATAAGTCTTGCAGATAGAAGATTTTGAAATGCAATTCGTTTCAAGTCTCTGTTGTAATGAGAGGTGAGGCTCCAGGCAGACAGCATTCCTTCACAGAGCTCCCCAATTTCAAAACATGACACGCACACAAAAATCAGCGGCAGTCCACAGAAAGGGTTTTAAATGCAGTCGCATGACTGCCATAGGCTTTTGTGATTTTTTAAAGATATAAACTAGTTCTTTAAGCCATTCTGAAAAAATTACATGTTTTCTGGGGTCGTTCTCTCTCTCTCTCCTGCCCTATGTTCTGTTGCAGACTGGGGTGACCTGGGTTGGCTCACTACACCTCGGAACTGCCGCATTTTCAACCAGGGAAAGACAACAGGACTGAAATCTCCATGCTGACACCAGGAAGGCAGGGTGCAGGACAGGGTATCAGTCTCCTGAAAATGTGCGCCTCCTAACGTGACTATGGAAGTAACGATCTTCCTCTCTTCGGCGGACAAGCCTGAGAAGGCGGAGTCTCCTCGGAAGCCACAGTCGCTATGACAGTAGCCCTTGTTTGACAGCAGTGGTTTTCTCAGTTCCGACTCACAAATGAAATCAGCTTTACTCCAGCCCTACCAGCCTGGGAGCGAGAGGCTCAAGTGTCACGAATCTGACCTGCCCAGAAAACGCCCGTATGCTGCAGCTGGTGACCAACTGGCTGGGGGGGGGGCGGGGGACGGGGAGGGGGTGTCCAACGCACACAGTTGGCCAGTTGCCATGGTGCGAATTCTCCCACCATGGCCAATCTCAAGCTGCCAATGTGACACCAAGTGGCTCACAAGACTTCTGAAAACTCAAGCCCGCCCTCGCCCCCCCAGGACAGGGCGGCTCCGGCTCTTCCCTGCATGAGAACGAGGTCAGGAGGCGGCCACACCACACGCCCGACGGAAGGGGCTGGCCGCAAGGCCGGGGTCTAAAGCCCGCACGGGAGGACGCGCACGGTCAGCCGTGCCGCCCTCCGAGTACAAATACGCGGTCCTCAGTGATTTAGGTGAGAAGCGCCGGCCAGGACTAAGGGTGCACCAGCGGAAAATCTGTACCTCGCTGTGGGGAGCACTCCAACCGGCCCACTCTTTTTCAGATAACAATCAAGTTCCTGGAGGTGGAGAAGGGTGGAGAACTCTAAAATGTTTCTGCTTGTCTGCAATTTAGTTCACTGTTTTTAATACTAAACTCCCACAACCTGAATTCACATTAGTATGTGAACTCAGTTTGTCTGTGGTAACAGTGAAGGTCATGGCAACCCCATGTCACTACGAGGAGTCCCAGGAGTTTAGCAGGGGGTTGAGCTCTTCAGTTCTCGCGAAGTCAGGATGATGCAACCGCACAGTAATGAGCTAACTTCGTCTGAACATTCTCTATGCGCCAGGACCTCACTTATCCCGCCACAACTCTCTGGGGTCAGCTTCCGTTACAACTGAGCGGAGTCAGAGGGATGGGACAGCTTGCCCAAGGTCACACAGCTGTCTCGTTATAAATGGTCATCAGTGTCAAAACAGTAAAAAACCTTTCCTTAAAGTCAGCTCAGCCCCATCACAGAATTTACAAAGCATTTTTCCTGCCTAACCTTCCGTGGGACTTACCACAGCAGGCAGAGCAGGGGTGACCGTCCCCATGCTACAGACGGAGATGTGGTTCTGGTGTTGCCAGGTCCAGCCCACGGGGCAGAGAACTAATACACGGGAGGGTCTAGCCTCAGACCCAGGTTCTTCCATCCTAGGTCCTAGACCTTTCCCCCAAGCCACAGCTGCCATACACATTCTTCAAGCAAGGAGAATCCGTTATGCCGAAGAAGGGGATCAAGAGCATAATCTAACCACAGAATTGTACTAATACTGTGGGTCTTAAAAGTCAGCAAGGGAGAAAACTTGTATTTTTAGAGAACCAAACTAATCAAAAGCCTCAGATTTAGGGGATCTTGCTATATCCCATTCAAAAGATACAGGGACAATAAACTTGAAATGATGGACTGTACTCAAAACAAGTATCATTTGGGGAAAAGACTCGGGTCATGCATAAAAATGATGGCTAGTTGTGGGACACTTGGGTGGCTCAGTTGGTTAAGCGTCTGACTCTTGATTCCGGCTCAGGTCATGATTTCAGGGTGGGGAAATCGAGCCCCACGTCAGGCTCCATGCGCTTAAGATTCTCTCTCTCCCTCTCTATCTGCCCCTCCCCCTGCTCACACACTTTCTCTCTTTCTCTAAGAAAACAAAAAACCAAAAAAGAGATAGTTCTTGATGTAATTAGGGAAAGAGTATTAATATTAACTATGAAAAGGACCCTGTCCAGCTGGCTCAGGGACTCAGGTAGAATTACCTTTCAGAGACACATTCACACCCTGTTTCTACCCTGAAACATTGATCGTGAATCCATACCTTCCACTCCAGCCAACCTAAGACCCTGTTCTTTACTTTTCAGGTAGGTAAGAATGCTACCAAGAATGTCAGGTAGGTAAGAATGTTTACCAAGAAAAATTTAAAAAAAACTTAAATTTCAAAACCCAAATTCATTAAAAGCAAACACACTTAAATCCACCACACTGTTGTTAAATGGTTTCAGTCTGCCTCTACCAATCAATTGCATACTCACTGTAAAAGTGTGTGAATTTTCTTCCAGTTTTTGAAGATACTACTATGCTTGTGATGGGTCCTCAAGTCTGAGTATACAGGCTATCAGAGATGGGGGAGGAGTCCTAGCTGCCAGGGCACTGGGAGTAACTGGGAGACAGAATGGATAGGCTGATTAATCACTTTAGCTCGATCAGAGGGCAGGGCTCCGGGCGTGAAGACATGGGCAATAAGGAGCCAGAAGCCTGAGCAATGCAACAAGATGACTTAGAGTGGCCGCGCTTAAATGACAAAGGCACAAATGCATGGCCAGTGCTTGGGGACTCAAAAAGTTTCGGTGGAAAGACAGAAAACAGCAAGGCTTAGACAAGCAATAACTACTTAATAAAATATCATATACAGGAGCGCCTGGGTGGCTCGGTCATTAAGCGTCTGCCTTCGGCTCAGGTCATGATCCCAGGGTCCTGGGATCGAGCCCCGCATCGGGCTCCCTGCTCAGCCGGAAGCCTGCTTCTCCCTCTCCCACTCCCCCTGCTTGTGTTCCTGCTCTCGCTGTGTCTCTCTGTCAAATAAAGAAAATCTTTCACAAAAAAAAATCATATACAATATACCTCAATGCAGAACAGTGTAGATGATCAGAGAGCAGGTTGCAGAGATAAACGTGGCTTTAAAATTCCAGTTCAGTCACCCACTAGCTGTGTGACCTTGGAAAAGTTACTTAACATCTCAGAGTCTGTTTTCTCTTCTGAAGGAACAATAGGCCTGTTGTAAGCTGGACATGCCTCAGAACATGGTAAATGCTCCAGGAATGGCAGCTAGAGATGATGCTATGCTTTTATATTTTGCCCCAAATAAATAAGAAGTGTGCAACTCATGGTTATTTATTATAATGAGTATCAAAGAGCTGCGTTTTCTACACGGACCTTCTCTGGGATCTCAATTCACTTAATCTTTCTTTTAAAGAGACCTGGAGCTCTCGGGTGTTTTGTCTCCAGAATCCCTCTGCGGCCCTCAGAGATCATGGCCAGGCAATTCAAGCTGTATCCACACACTCTGACATCAGCAACACTTCCCTTCGGGGGATGCTCCTCTCAGATACCACGCAGCAAACGGCAAACAGAACACAGCCCCGCACCGCCGCATCACCACACGGTGTTTCTAAACCGGCTGCTTAGCAACCGTACCTCAAACCGGAGAACCCCTCCCTCCCTCCCTCCCTCCCTCCCTTCTTGCATCCATACCATCCCCATCCACATCCCATTGCATCCCATTCAGAGTCTCCTGAGTTTACCTTTTCACTTCCTCTAATTTATTATCTCCAGCAAAACCACTAAAAGTCTAATCGATCCCCCTTATTTCCATAGATAAACTCAAAGTGTTCCAAATACGATGGAAATAAGGGGGGGGGGGGATGAGAAGAGCTCGAAGACACAAAAGCTGAAAGGGCCAGAAAGGAAAGTCAAAGTGGAGACGCACGGAGCGGGGCCGGCGCTCCACAGGTGCCGACGGCGGGCCGTCACAGCCGCACACTCGGCTTACCCCTAGCGGCGGAAGGCCTTCCACGACGTTCTTCTTCCCCGAGAGGAGATCGGACACCGGCCGCTGCTTCAGGGAGTCCCTCCTGGCTCGGTAGCGCCCCGACGTGGTGAGGTCGGACTCGGACATGGAGGGCGTGAGCAGCCCCTCTCTGCGGGGCCGGGTGGCCTCCGTGAGCGCTGCCGCAGGCTCGCGGCCGTGCAGGGGGCCCGGGGCGGCGGCGGCGGCGGCGGGGGCGGCGGGGGCGCAGGGGCCGCGGGAGGGGCCGGCCTGCTGCTCCGGGGAGTGGCGGCCCCGGGGAAAGGGCACCGCCAGCGAGGCGATCTCCTCCTCCAGGTCCTCCTCGTCCTCGCTGCTGTGGATCAGCATGGTGGCGTCGGAGAGAGACTTCTTGTGGCCGTAGCCCAGGCCTCCCCGCTCGTCCGCCTGGTCCCGCTCAGCCCTTTCGGGGCAGCCGCCGGGCTGGGAGCCCGCCGAGACGGGCCTGGGCGGCGGGTCGGCGGCCGACGCGGACAGGGTGCGCTCCTTGAGCCGCAGGCCCTCGAGGCTGTGCGCCAACCCGGCCACCTCGATGCTGTTCCTCTTGTGCAGGTGCGCGCGCCGGGCGGCCGTGAGCGGCTCGCTGACCTCCTGCAGGGAGTGCGCCACGGGCAGGCTGGCCTCCTGGAACGTCTGCACCGAGTGGTGCACGCGCCTGGTGATGAGGTCGGGGTTGCTGCTGCTTATGTACAGGTGGCGGGACAGGTCCGGGGTGCTGTTGGCCGGCCGCGGGGGCGGGTAGGGCGGGGGCGGGCGATACACCTGCGTCCGCATGATGTTGGGGGCTGGGTAGTCCTGCGCCTGCAGCTGCACGTTGGTCAGCTCAGGCACACTGACGGCACCCACCACGGGCCGCCGCTCGGCGGGGTGCGGGTACGGGGACGGGCTGTGGAAACTGTAGTTCAGGCTGAACGGGTAGTGGGCCGACTGCGGGGAGGCGAAGGGGGCGTGCTCCCGAATTTCCGGCTGGCTGTAGACCAGCGCGTCGGGCCTGCTGTAGGCGTACGAGTTGCCGATGTTGAGGTTTCGCAGCGAGTGGCTCTGCCTTCCGGCGTGCACCATGCCTCTGTTGAGCTGCTTCATCACCGTCTCGTAATCTGGGGTCGGACGGTACGACGGGGGGATCAGGGCGCTGTGCCGGTGGGACGGCACGTAGTCGGGTCTCATGACGTCACTCCCCGTGATGCTCGGGTTAGAGGACATGGGGGACGGCTGCAGGTAGGGCTGCGGGTTGTTCAGGGAGTTAGTGCTGTGTGCACTGTATACACTGCCGTTTCGGATCCGACCACTGAGGTCAATCTGAGCTCGATCCAAACTTGTCAGAGAGTGACAATAGTATCCGTTCTGGTTGGTCGCAAAGAGGTTATCTGGGAAACAAACACATTTAAAATTTATTTTAAAATGAGATTTTAAGATGTATAAATCCGACCAATTACTCTAGGCAAATACTGAGATAGGCCCTGCCCTGAACGCTGATGACACTTTCAGTGTAGCTTACAAAAATCCAGGCAGAAATAACCTGGCTTCACCCAGGCTCCCTGATGACTGTGGGCATATTATTTCCCAGAGTCCTGGCATCCTCATCTATAGAACGGTGACGGCTCACCCACCCTAAGGGTGGTATTCAGGATTTGGCCCCTGGTAAAGATTAACCAAATCTAAATCCAATATTAAGAGTACAAATGATTATAAAATATTGTCTTTTCCTGAAAATCAAAAACATGTGTTTTGCTAGAATTGAAACAGACTTTCAGGAACTCTGGTTAGCTGGAGGCAGAGATACTTTTCAAGGCATTGCACCACTAACTGCTCTCTCCCCCTGGTGGGAATGTGGGACTCGCTGATGCTGAGCTAGTTCAAGTACCAACCATCTATAAAAACCTCCTTAAGTGGAATTCTGGGTTTTCTGTATGGGTTCTTCTAGAATGAAGACAAAAACAATAACTCTGCAGGCTCTACTTCTCCAGGTCCAACAATATCATCAGTTGCTGTAAACCTCGCCAGGGGCCGGAAGCCATTCACACCTGCCCCCCAGCCCCCACTCCGGCCCCCACACTCCAGGGGGATGGGGATCCACAGGCAGCAGAATCGGGAGCACTGTCTCATCTACAGTGGCTGCATGTGTGCCTAGTGGGGCTGGAAGGAGGCATGTTTCTTCTGTCTGATCTGTAGTTCACTGGAAACACCATCCCTACTGAGGGTGATTTCTGACACTTCAAAGAGTAGCAGTCAGGTCCTTCAGAGAACAGTTGCCTTTCAAACGTATTCTTTCTGGGATTCAAGAGCCGTGTAATGGTTTAAGTGACTAGTGATTATCAAAGTGAATGTATCACCATCTAGTGTGGGGACATTACTCAGGTGGCGTGCAAGCCAGGGCGAAACGGGGCTCAGAAGCATCACTGTATTCTTCCTGCTGACACCAAAGCTTCCCGGTCCCTGTACTGCTCCCACACCTGGAATGCTCTGCAACCTCCGGGTCCCTGGAGCTCCCCTTTCTCCCTGCCACCACAGCTCAGGTCCTGACCCAGCCTGTCTGTCTGCACAGGCATAAAACCCATCCCTCCTGGCCTCCCTACCTGCAGGCTCCTCCCTACACCCCACAAACCATCCCTTTGTGAGCCCGTGTGTGTAAAAGACTATGCTGAGAACCGATGGGGGGAAAAGATGACTGGAATCCAGGTGAGTAAAGGGGAGAGATGTATACAACAATCACAGTTCAAGGACACGTTCCACTGTGAGACTCAGTGTGACAGGGGTCCACACAGGAGGAGGGAAGGATCACTTCTAGCCTGGGCTGGGTCGATGGGGACAGACAGGGGAGAATCAAAAACAGCCTCACGGAGGACACAGCATTCAAGCAGCCTGTGGGGGTGGGGAGGGCATGTCCAGCTTCTGGCAGCCGCCGCTATGCACAGGATTACCCATCTTCACCCCTAGGTGTCTGTCAGGCATGGTCACATGACTAGCAGAGGTCAAGGGAAAGAGAGCAGAGGGTTGAGAGCCAGTTTCCATGCTCCCTCCCCACCACCCCCCAGACCAACATTCCAGATGGAAGAGGCTCCTCTGGCCAGAATGCCTGAGGCAGGCAGACATGGAGCAGAGCCCTCCTGCCGGTAACCTCAGCAGAAGTCACCTTTACTGCATAAGCCGCTGGGCATTCCCACAGCACAATCTAGCCCCCACCCCCCACCCCACCATGGGACGGAAGCATGCGGGCAGGAGAGCACACAATGCCGTCATGTAAGGACTAAGGGCATTCTGGGTGACAGGGCAGCACGGGCCAGGCCAGGAGACCATTTCTGCGGGGGGCACCCTCAGTTTGGCTGGAGTGTCGGGTAGCTGGAGACGAGTAAGAGAACAGTGGGAAATAAGACTGGGAAAGGAGCGTCGGGAAACACTGCAGAGAGTGTGCAACACCAGGCAAAGGAATGGTCGTGGGGGAGCTGAGAGCCGGGCACCCATGTATCCGGTGAGCCGGGGAGGGCAGAGGTGGAAGCTGGCCTCTCGTGTGGAGCCGCCAGCTAGTCGGGTGAGGCTGGACTGAACCAGGGGCAGGGACAGGGAGACGGAAGGGATACTGTATGGAGTTAGAGGCCAGAACATGTGTGACGGACTGGGTGCTGAGCGGGGGGAAAAGAAAAGCAAAGCAAAATTGCATGCAGTTTGGAATCCACGTAACCCGGAGAGTGATGTCATCGCAAAGAGGAAATAAGGACGGGGGGGGGGGGGGGGCAAGGGACGGGCTTGTGGAGCAGAGCAATGAGCTCGGATGTAACATTCTTATTCTCAGCAAGCTGTAATAGCTGATACCATAAGCCGGGTCCCCCACCGAGGGCTTTTGGTGCAGTGGCTCCCTACCCTGTCACCTGTGGGGCAGATGGAGATGCAGGGCTGCAGCGCAGGGGTGATGACAGATGGGAAATACAGATGTTACAGTCACCCCTGCCGATATCTGAACTGTGGACGGGGCTGCTGTGGGAGCCTGCAAAGGGAGGGAACAAGGCCACCCCCAGAGACCTTCCCAGACAGTGAACACCACTGACGGTGCAGGAGGAGAGAGAACCAGCGCCCCGACAAGAGGTTTTTCGAGAGGAGAAAAAGCTCAATTTGCTGGTGAGGAGGTGGAGGGCGCCAGGGACCGAGAGGGCAGCTGGGGAGTAAACGGGTACCCACCCACATGGGCACTGCTCTCAGAAGCAGCAGGTGGAAAAGGGAAGGGAAAATGAACTCAAACCACAGTTGGAAGAGAGAGGCAAGGAAAAAGTATTAGGGTATCTGCAGACTAGCAATGCAGACAGAAGAAAGAGCCTTTACCCAGCGGCGGGTGGGGCTGGGGGCGCAGAAGCACACAAGGGGGGGGCACAAGGAGCCCGCAATGAGGGAGAAAACAGCCCCACCCTGAGGTGCACCCTCTGGGAATCCACACCCTGAAGCACGGCTCCCCTGCTGCCCACCTGCCTACCTCACTGTGTGGACATTCTCCTCTGTGCACGGAAGGCCCGGCACACACAACACAGTCACAAACCACCTCTGGTCCCTTCACACGTGGCTTCTCCCAGTTCCAAGTCCAGCTATACCACTCCCCTCCCCAATGCCCCTTCCTCAGTCTGTGCCATGGTGTTCACTGTCCCCCAAAACCAGGGGCAGCAATCCCCATCAACTGCCCACCTCCCTCTCTCTAGCTGCCGTCTTTCCAGAAAGCCCTTCTCAGTCTCCCCAACAGAATGAGTCTTCCGTCACGTAATCGCTTGCTCTCTCTCCTCAAAACAATCATGTTCTCTTTGTGTTTAAGCTATTTGTGTGCTAGTCTTATCCCCCACCATTAGATCCTAAGCTTCCTAAGATGTGGAACTACTTCTCTGCATTAAATCTCCTTGGCCTCTGTAGTAGAGCCTCGTACACAGAGGAGAGAGTAAATGTCTCCTGAATGAATGCTTAAGGTTCAGCTTGGGAGGCACTGTCTTAAATACAGCTCCCTACACTAACCGAGTGAAAAATAAAAATAAATAAAAACGAAATGCTTAAACCCTGACAATGGGCAGCTCTCGGGCAGGAAAAAAACCCAAACGAGCCTGGGATATCTTACGCTGGAAGGCAAGGAAACACTCAAAGGCTAATGGGAGAGTGTCAGCAGGACAAAGGAGTTGGCTAAAGGGGCTCCCAAAGGCCAAACTTGGGATCATTTGAGCATCAGAATTTGATACTGAATATTGCTACACATTTTCGAGAAACGGAATCTAATGACTGCTGCTTCTATGAATCCAGGATGGCTATAATCATGAAAACGATTTGGTTGTCACGTCAGCCAAAACTATCCTGGCTCGAAGATCTCCAAGTCTTCATAGATTTATTCAAATTGTAATAATTTTGTATGGCATTTCAGATATAGCGTACTTTACCTTGGGAGGAAGTGTATGGTTCTGTATAATGTCCATTATAATGCAGCTGGGGTGGGGGAGGCATCACATAGGGCTGGGGCTTAGGCTAAGGAATGGAAAGTTGGAAACAGGGTTAAAACACATTGCTGCCTATGTAATATATGTAAAGTAAGTCTCTGCTGGTTTCTTTCTGTCCATTAAAAAACTTCTAAGGAAGTTAAATATAATATATAGAAAATAAACATGAAGACCCTACAGCTCTTACCATATCTGTCACTTTCAGTGTCTCCCAGAATGACAATGCCAAGGCCTATGCACTGATACCAGACATCAGAGATCACAAGAAAACAAGCTGTATCCAAAAAGTCTTTAAGAGCAAGAAGGAATAGACAAAGTTCCCTGAATTCTTATGTAAACATGTGAATATAAAAAGCTTTTCTGTAGTGTATTTAAACTTATCAGGCAAAATTTGCTAGCATTTTAAATATCTACTAACTTCTGATTGCTCTTCACTAATAGTCAAAAATTTTAATACTAGGTTGAACCTAATATTTAAATATGTATAATAAAATAAATACTACATAAATATTAGCGTCAGCCTATGGAAAATTGCCATTTCTTTGGTTAAAAACAATGGAATACCAGCACACTTTTGTGGTCCAAATAAAAAATTAATACTATCAAAAGCATCTTTTATTAAGGAAGGTGATATCACTAAAAGAAAAAAAGCAATTATATTTTTCCTTCTTTCTTACCAGGGATACCCTTGAAGACGACCTCCTCCTAATTGGGTTCACTGTGACAGTCTGAGTTTGCCTATAAAAATAAGACATGTCGTTGAGACATACATACACATAGTTTTCCTAATTCTGCCAAAATAAATTAATAAGAAGGGAAAATAATAAATCTACTAAAGCAAAAAGAAGACAAACTAATCCAGCCATATATCAGAGAAAAGGAGACTCTGTCCTCACTTGGGGACTCCACCCTCTTTGGCTGCCCAGACCCCTCCACCCACACTCCAGGGTTTGAGCCTCTTCACGCAGCAACATCTGCCTTAACTATCGGAGGATGGGCAGGTCTATCTTTTCCTGGGCTATCCAGGTAAAACCTCTGGAATGAGCATATGCAGAGAGGAAAAGCAGCAGGGCTTGATCACCCACAAACATCGCAGGTAAGCAAGACTCAGTGCAAATGCATCTCTCCTGTGGGCCTGGGTCAGCACTGACCACCTCCATTGACAGTCCTGAGGTCACGGTGACCATCAACTGCCAGCCCAGAAGCCTGAAGCAATAGGAGATGCCTTTAGTTAAAATCCTTTTAACCACACATTACAAACATAATCAAGAAATAAGTTTATAACTTTGGTAACTTAAGAATCTGGATTTCCCGGGGCGCCTGGGTGGCTCAGTTGTTTGAACGACTGCCTTCGGCTCAGGTCATGATCCTGGAGTCCCCGGATCGAGTCCCACATTGGGCTCCCTGCTCGGCAGGGGGTCTGCTTCTTTCTCTGACCCTCTTCCCTCTCGTGTGCTCTACCATTCTCTCTCTCTCAATAAATAAATAAAAAAAAAAAAAAAAAAAAAAAAGAATCTGGATTTCCCGTAAGGAACTAAGTTAGAGAAAGCAAACAAGTAGATTTGGTTCAGTGGGCCAATGGTAAACCTATTTACTTTTCTTTGCAAGAAACTTCTCTCAGATTGGTTTCAAATGTATTTTTTAGAAAGCAATAAAGGGTGCGTGGGTGGCTTAGTTGGTCGTGAGTTCAGGTCCCACACTGGGCTCCATGCTGGGTGTGGAGGTGACTTAACAACAACAAACAACAAAGAAAGCAATGAGAATATTAGGAAGTGTGGACTAACATTTTTCAGATAAATTGAGATTTTAAACTATTCCCATCAAGTTCCATCTTTGAATAAATAATTACATCAAAAAGGAATAAGAGACAAAACAGCTCGTGTAATTTTACCACTTTTAAACAGAGGCAGGATTTTTTTGTTCTTGTGTGCAGTTTATTGCAGATAAAATCTAGGAACCTAAACACACAGGATTCTTTGTTGATGACTTAGGTAATTTTCCCCAAGTGCTTTTTCTCCCCTTTTCCTCCCTTTTCTTTTTAAGAGAGTGACAGAGAGAGCATGTGCACGCATGTGCTTGGGGTGGGGGTGGGGCAGAGGGAGAAGGAAAGAGAATCGCAAGCAGGCTCCAAGTCCAGTGGGGAGCCCAATGCAGGGCTCAATCTCACCACCCTGAGATCATGACCTGAGCCAAAATCAAGAGTGATCAACCAAAATCAATTAGGTGCTCAACTGACTGAGCCACCCAGGCACCCCCCTCCAGATTTTTTTTAAAGTAAGCTCTACACCCAACATGGGGCGTGAACTCGTGAGTCGCATGCTCTACCGACTGAGCCAGCCAGGCACCTGTCAAAGCACTTTAAAAAAAAAAAAATTTTTACCATCTGTTCCTGGCTCATGAGCTTATGTGACACATAAATACTCATTACAAAAATATTTTGTGACTTTTGGTCAGTTTCTAAGGACTAATTACTAAAAAATCCAGAATCACAAAGTGAACACTCAACCTGTTTAATCAGCAAATGTACCATAGTATCAATCCTCACATCTCCTAAATTAACATGATTCTTAGCATTCTAAACACTAGTACCTTATTTTTTTTTTAAAGATTTTATTTATTTATTTGTCAGAGAGAGAGATCGTGCAGAGCAGGGGGAGGGGCAGAGGGAGAATCAGTCTCCCTGCTGAGCAAGGAGCCCGATGTGGGACGTGATCCTGGGACTCCAGGATCATGACCTGAGCTGAAGGCAGACGCTTAACCAACTGAGCCACCCAGGCATCCCCAACTAGTACCTTATATTCAAAACCTGAAAATTAGCTTATTTTGAGAAGACCTGAGATAAAATAAAACTAGTGCTTATCATTTCTGATTAAAAATGATCACCAAATACTGGGCTTGAAAGAAACTAGGTTGGTATTGCCTCAGTAACAGAGTGTTAGAATAAGGGAACATAAGAGCAATCTGAAAAATGGTCTACTCCAGAATAAAAACTGATTATGTGATAAAGGTGATATTCCAGCTCAGCAGAGAGAAGATAGGTTATTGGTACAATGGACCATTTATAAGAAGTTCAAGTCTCATAGCCTCATATAATGCCACATAAGAAAGTGCATAGCAGATGGATTTAAAAATTAAAAATTTAAATATGAAGTCATAAGTGAACTTACAGAAAATATAAGTGAATACTTCTATTATATATCATAGGCTGAAGATATAGCTAAACCCAAAAGTAATAATAGAAATTACAAAGAAAAAAAAAATGAGTGCGTATCAGGAACTTAACATCAGGTGACTACAATTTGTTTTACTGGGTGACTTTTTTTAATTAAACGCTTTTTGAAATAATTTCCTTTCATCATCAAAATGTGTTGAGGTTGTTGCTAAAGAATAAGTGTCTCTATTCCCAAGAACATTCCATCTCCCAGAACTTATGTTACTCAACAATAACAAAATGGATGATAATTCTATTAAGCCTGTAGCGATCAGTAAAGCTCTATGGGTCCTAATTGGGGCCTCTTTGGTGGTGGGAGGTGGGATGGTGCACCAGGTACTCTGGTTTTGTTAACCACTCCTTAACCGTACGTTAAAATAGTCATTAAAATCAGTGTCCGGAATGTGAAGGCATCATTTTGTAGCCTTGAGGTTTACTTTGCTGCTGCTTATTCTCCATCGTCAGAGCTAGGCTGAAGCAAAACTGGGACCTTTGAAATTTATATTTAGTCCAAAAGGACTGAACTTTTAAATTACTAAAATTCAACAGGCGCCTGGGTGGCTCAGTCTGTTGGGCGGCCAACTAATGATTTCAGCTCAGGTCATGATGTCAGGATTGTGAGATCAAGCCCCGCATCGGGCTCTGCACTGGGCAGGGAGCCTGCTTAAGAGTCTCTCCTCCACCCTCTAAGCTTCTCTGCCTCATGCTCGCACATGTGCTCTCTCTCTCTCTAAAAATAGAAAATAATAAGGTACTATATATTCAAAATTCAGAAATGAGAAGGAAGGGCTGCCACAGAGTAATACTCCAACATGTCCAGACTTGCCCAGCCTGGGGCAAAAATAAAACTTAAATGTGTCAAACACAGAATCCAAAGATGCAGACCTTAGAAGCAGAGGCAGTAACTGCCACATGCACTATCTATTTCGGCAGCATCCAGTGCGGGGGCAACACCGTCCACTGCAGAGGCCACTTCTTACTAAACACAAACAAACACACACGTCTTTCTCCTGCCAGACGGCTCCACTAGGCAGCCTCGCCATCGGTTCTAATACCCACCTCCTCCTTCTTCCTGCCACTGTTCTTGTAACTGCAGCTTACGAGGGAGACCAGTTAGCCTAAACCTAGCAGACAAGACCAAATGGTCTAACTGCTGGTGGGTGTTTTCCAGACTTTCTGGGCAGTTACTATGTTGATGGGTGCTGCTAAAAACGAGACAACTGAAGAACTCTTAGGAACAAAATCACTGGAATGTGTGCCCTGGAGAAAACAAAAGAGTAAAGGCTGCTAGCCCCAGTAAAATAAGTATGACTTCTACTGAAACAGTGCTAAGGACGGAAAATGATTATCTCACGGAATCTGAACCCCAACACCAGAAGGGATGCCAGTTACTCTCCTGATTTTACAGAGGAGGAAACTGATAGGTAGGTTAAGGAAACTGCTCTTGGTCACACGACCAGGAAGTAGCAGAACGGGCACTGGAATCAGGCCTGTCCGTCGGATTACCAAGCACAGGCTCCTAACAGTCCATTATTTGTTGACCCCTTCCCCGGCCCCGGATGATCTGTAAGCTCCATGGGGGCAAGAGGACATAATGGTATCACTGGTGCCCGGCACACAAAGAAGGCCTCAAATGTTTGTTGAGCAAACAAGCAACACAGTGAGGATGGAAGCAGATGCTAATTACTGAGCATTTACAGTGAAGCTATTTCTAAGAGCTATTTCAATTTTGCTTTGTGGGCTTCTTTTCTCACAGATTTATAGCTAGTGAAGAAGAGATTTTGATGAACAAAAAATGTACTGGATGGTGGAAATACCTAGAAAACGTTGGTCTCAATGACCTTCTCTGATGGGACAGGGCTACTCTATCTCCTTCCAGGCCTCCTCCAGTCCCTGTATTTTTTTTCTTTTAAGATTTATTTATTTATTTTAGAGAGAGTATGAGTGAGAGAGTGGTTGGGGGAGGGGCAGAGGGAGACAAGCAGACTCCCCACTGAGCGGGGACCCCACCCCCACCCCCACCACGGGGCTCCATCCCAGGACTCTGAGATCATGACCTGAGCCGAAATTGCGAGCCAGACGCTCAACTGATTGAGCCACTCAGGCACCCCTCCTCTGGTCTCTTTAAACCCTGCAGTGGGGCTAGAAGGGGCAGCCCCATCCCCTTCCAGGAAGGGCCTTCTCCCGTCAGTGTTCTGGTCAGAGTCTCCACAACACAAGTGGGCACACACCAACCCTCTCACCTGCCGATGACTGAAATTCAGCTTTCCCTCTAGATAAAGTCCCTTGAAACCTTGATCACATGGCTCTGCAGATTCGGGGAATACTGTCCTCACCAAGATTCTGTTTCTCTCCCAGTCTTTTTCTCATGTAAACGAGAGGCTGCTTACAGCAGGACCAATTCTGGGGTTTGGAAGAAGTTATTTGACAAAACAGACTGACCTTATCTCCTGTAATTCCTAAGCTAACCCTAAAGGAATATTAACATTCTTCTTCTCACATTTTTAAGGCTTGAGTGACATAAAAAGATGACTCTGTTATTTAGAGTACCTTGTTTAAAAGTGGAGGGAGGGGGCCAGATTTATGATGGGTCATGTCATTCTATAAAATCTAAAATATAGTCATCTGGGTCAAGTTTGGATGAGTCACACAAGGCCATCCCAAACACCACGGAATTACGTAACAGGACTGAGAGGTGGTGGAGGGGACACTCTAAGAGCAAAGTCCTCCTTGTATCCAAGTAGAACCATCTCCCTGAGCCACCAGGCGCCCCAGGCTGACCCAGTCGTCCAAAATCCACTGTCCAATTTCAGGCCTGTTACAGTTCCATTAAATGCCCATCACACTGTAAAATGACCCATCTGGACTGTGAGAACAAATCTACCAATACTCTAGGATCACTGTATTAAATATGACTGAACAGTCTAGGTTGAGAGCCTTAAAAAAAAAAATGAGCATAAAATTTAAAGCTATTTTTAGTTTTATCACCCATCAAAACATTAAAGGCTAAGAATTCATTTACTTCACCTGAGAACAAGTGCTAATGGCAAAATAGTTTCCCACAGAATGCAGCAGGTGTCCTCCATCTTAAATAATTACACAGGAATAGCTCATGGATATGGACTTCCTTAATCTACTGGATGTACAGATTAAAAACAAAATGTAGAAAATAGCCTTTTAAACCTAACTATTTCACTTTTGAAACTCTTGTGTTTTTTCTTTTTTTTTAAGATTTTATTTATTTGAGAGAGAGAGAAAGAGAGCAGAAGTGGGGGCGGGGGGGGAGGCAGAGGGAGAGGGAGAAAAGCAGACTCCCTGCTGAACACATCGGGCCAAGTGGGGCTCAATCCCAGGACTCTGAGATCATGACTTGAGTTTAGTCAGCCGCTTAACTGGCAGCCACCCAGGTGCCCCCTGTGTTTTCTTTATATAGACATATGCAACTGAAGACCATAATAATGTAGTTTTATTCCTATTTAGCAAGAAACAGCAATATTACAAAGCTTAGATTTCTACAACAGAATTGATTTCTTTTCCATCTGAACTTTAAAATCATTAGTAGGTGGTGATTTGCCAAAAAAAAAACTCCTTTAAAAAAAGGCATTGGGGCGCATAGGTGGCTCAGTCGGTTAAGTGTCTGCCTTCAGCTCAGGTCATGATCCCAGGGTCCTGGGATCGAGCCCCGCATTGGGCTCCCTGCTCAGTGGGTCGCCTGCTTCTCCCTCTCTCTTTCTCCCTCTGCTTCTGCCCCTGCTCATGCTCTCTCTGTCTCTCAAATACATAAATAAAATCTTTAAAAAAAAAGGCATTAACCACCAACCAATATGGATGCCTACTGTAAAGAGATGATGTTTTGCAGTCTATTCAAAATGATTGCTTTGATTCTCCATTATTTTCCAGAAGAGGGAGGGTTCCACACTATGAAGACCCTCAAACTTATGAAAAGGCTGTGCTCCTCCAGAGTGCATATCTACTGCTTGAATCTCAGAACACTGCTTCTGCATAGAAATAATGTCACACGTGCTCAGGTAACCAGGCCAGCCCAGGAGTGCCCCAAATGTGACTGGCCTGGACTCCTGGCACCACTGAATCTGGCCACCAGGGGGAGCACGTTCTGACACAAACACGCTCAGACCTGCAAGCTCAGCGCGTAGCCAGCAGAGAAGGCTTCCCGTATCCACAAAGAAAGCAGGGCTCCCTCTTCCCCCTCAGGTCAGTTAGCGCTTTCTCAAATCCCATCAAAAGACCAGCAGTGGACGCAGAGGAAAGCATGGTTGGGGGTGGGGGGGGTTACTCAGAGGGAGAAGAGGACTGGGACCTACGGGCTAATCACTGGCTGGTTCTCCTGTAGGGTGACCCCCGGTCACTTCCTTTTCTTTCAGGAGTCCCAAAGATGGGTCTGCCCTTTGCACGGTTATTCTAACCAGTTTTATTTCACACTTTGGGGTACCTATAAAAAAACAGAAAGCACTTCCATAGACTTTCCTCTTCCTTCTTGGCCTGAAGGGAAAATGTTCTCTTCAGATTTTTTTTTTTCCAATTTACAATCAGTGGTAAAAGGAAATCAACAAGGAGCAAACGGGCTCTTTCTTCTCCCCTCTGACGCCCATCACCATCTCACTCAGGCTTCCACCATTCACTAAGCCTTGGGTGCTAGGCGGCCCGCTGGCCACTGGGGCGCTAGCAGACAAGCCAGAAAAGCCAGGTTCGCATAGGACAGCAGGGCTGAACCACGCCAGTGGCCTAGCCTTGGGGGGTGGGGAGCGCTGGCTGCACGGCAGGACCGCGACACTGCAGGCCTCTATGTCCCCACGCCTTCATCTACAAAAGGGCAGTAGGAATTGTACCGAACCGGGCTACTGTAAAGATGAAAGGAGATAAAAGCTCTCCGCATAATGCTTGGCACAGAGAAAGTATCTACCGAATCAGAATCATTGTTATGCAAGTGGTAGGAAACAACCAGTACTTTGAGAATGGTACCAAGGACGAAGCAAACTAAATGTGTGGTGGCCTCCAGGACGGCCGCACTTAAACTGGATCAGGACAAACAACGAAGAGCCTGCCAGAGACGGGGAGAGAGAGCATTCCAGCAAAGCCTGGGGCTGTGAGACGCTTCAGCGTTGTGAGGACTATGGGCTCTGGGGCCAGGATCAAGGGTCAGCTGCGCAGATGAGCCCAGAGGAGGATCACAGGAGTCTTGCACTTCATGCTGTAGCTAAGAAGGGTGCGGAAAGGCACAGGCTCAAATATGGTTCTGAGCTATAACTTTGGGTAAAGTGCTACATCTTTTGCTCATCCATCCAGAAAACTGGCTGGAGCCAGGTGAGGTGGGGCAGGGGAGCCAGATGGGAGGCAGCTGCAGTGGGCCAGACGAGAGAGAACAGCTTAAAAGAACGTTGTGGGGTTGGAGCGCAAGACTTCCGAGTCTCAGTGCAGATGCCACTCTGCTGGGAAGCCTTTCCTGGCGTGGCAGTTCTGGGTTAGGAACCCTTCTCCTAAGGGCTCCTACAGCACCACAGACATCCCCAATCAGACCTCTTAACATGCGTTCCTTCAACAAATTCAGAAGGCCTACTGCGGCCCAGCCCCTTGCTCAGCACCAGGAACACAGGAGTTAACCAGTGTCTGCCCTTTGCATTGCTGTGGTGCCTACCTGCTGAGAAGAGATGGAGGCAATAAACAAGTAAGGAAACAAATACACAAAGTCAGCAGGGCCAAGTCCTATGAAAAAGAATAAATCAGGGCAAGGGGATAAAGAGAGACAGGCAGTGGGCAGGGAGGGAGTACCCAAGGCAGCCAGGGTACCTCTGATCAGACAACGGATGCAGTGGGAGAATGAGGCATGGGAAGGAAGAGCATTTCAGGCCGAGAAGTGGCAAGCGCAGCGTCCCTGAGGGCAGAACATGTTCACAGACGGGAAAGGATCCTAGTGTGGCTGGGACAGGGTGAGCAGGAGGAGGGTATAAAGGAAACAAGGTGGGAACCAGGCAAGGACCAGATCTCGGATGGTCTTGTACTTTTTTTTTTTTTTTTTTTGTACTTTTAAGCATGATGAAATGCCAGTGCAGAGTTTCAAGGGCTAGAGGATCTGACCCATATTCAACTAAGACCGGTCTGGCTGACATATGGAAAGCAAGGTATAGGCAGGGCAGGCGCGGACATAGGGAGAGCGTCAGAAGGCTCCCGCCATCCTATAGCTGAGAAACACTGGTGGCTTGGCATGAGGTTGTTAGCAGAGGGGGTGGTAAAAGTGGTCAGATTTCAGATACATTTCGAAGGCAGAGCTTGCTGATGAATTGGATGTGCGATGAAAGAAACAGGCATCAAAATGGAATTAAGTAGGCCTGGGGCCTGGGCAACTGTGTGAATATGGAGTGCTGCCATTTATGGAATGGGAAAGAACAGGGAAGAAGCAGATTTGGGGGCAGGCAAAGGAAGAGAGCATCAAGTTTGGGTTTTGACATATCACATCTGAGATGCCTCTTAGGTCCCCAAATGGAGATGTCAACAGGCAGTCGGCTGTGCTCAGGGAGAGGACTGAGCTAGAAATAAAACCGGATGCACTATTTGTAAACCTGAATCAATGTGAATGAGGAAGGTGTGGAAGAGGTCCGAGGATTAAACCAGCAAAGCTGACTGAGAAGAAACAGCCTAGAAAGAGGAAAAGCAGGACGGTGGGGTCCTGGCAGGTGATGAGCAGCAGGGTGCAGGAAGGCAGGGGTGACCAGAGGTGTCCGTGTGTGACAGCTTGGGGAAGCAGGGTGAGAGGAAGGAGAGAAAGCAAGCATATACGACTCCTACGCAGAAATGTGCCCTACAGGAGCGCAGAGATAATGGAGCCCTGGTTGGATGGCGTGTGGAGTGAAGGACAAGTGTTTCGAGATGGGCAATTTTATTACAGCATGTCTGTATGCTGATGGGAATGATCCAGCACAAAGTGGGAAACCCATGGGGACCAAGAACAATGTACATTAGGAAGAAAAGGTATAAATGCTTCAAACGGCTTGACAAACTGAATAATCTTTAATTACTCAAGATGCTGATTAAAAAAGAACATTCTCTTTTTAACTTTCAAGAGTTAATGATTTTAGTAAGTAGGTAAAGAAAATCTTAGAGGCATATATCTTTAGTTATTAGAAGTTGTTCTGAAGGTAAAATGAAAATATTTTTGAGAGCTATTTTAACATGAAAAAGCAAAGAGTTTGTGTTAGTAATGTCATAAAACTGTTCTTTTCTACAAAATTTGCCTTTCTAGAGGATACCATACAGCTCAAGATAAAAATGTCTAACCTCATTATTTTCTACCATTTCCATGAACAGGCTATACTCACAGGCTGCACTGATTTAGTCTGTAGAATTTGTGTCGTGCAACACAGAGTCTCCACACGTACTTTGCGGTTTCCATGTCTTCCTAGCAAATGAAATATTGCACAAAGTAAAGGAAAACACATTTACAACTTGATGCAGAGTTTGTCTGAGGACAAGACATAACTGGGGGATATATTACATCAAAGTCACTTTTAACACACTGCGATTCTTTCATTTTCTAATGCTGTGCCTATCATATGAATGCCATAATTAGGATTTAAATTATGAAGACCAAAAACAAAAACAAAAAACACTATTCTAAGGTTGTGACTCTTACACGGAACTGTTTCAAAGTGACGTAGAGATTTTAAAATTATGAAAATATCAACTTTTATTTTGATAAAGATAGGCAAAGACAATTTGAAACAAAACATTTCAGTCAGTGACCTAATATTGCCTTTATCAAGAGAGCAAAAGTGAGTATGAAATAGTATTTCTACAGAGCCCTTTCCTTAGCAATGGAAATTAAGGTATTAGTACTTATTTTCTCCCCTATTTAGTCCCTTTAATTTAAAAATCATCATACCACATAGTATTTATCCAAGGACTCATTCATTCAACAGCATTTACTGAGCAACTACTTTTTGCCAAGGGCTATTAAGCAAAATGTTATAAAATTTTACGTTTTATATAAGTATTAAGTATTACAATTTTAATGCCACCTCCCTCCACCAACACGCACACAGAAATGCTAACTTGCTAACTTTTAGGAAAAACATTCCACGCAGATTCCTAATGTTTACTCACAGTTTGAAACTGGATGGTCTCCTCTTTATTGGCCAGCTCTAATGCAAAGAAGGACTTATTGTGGGACATGTTGGCAATATCATGCCACCTAAAACACAACAAATAGAAAAGAGCAATGTGAGTTCTATCTAGAAGATAGAACATATGATTTTTCCTTCTCAAGCTTGAGGTGTCAAGTTAACATTTGTTAATCATTTTAGAAAGAAAACAGTTGTTTTAATCAGCTGACATGCATCTTCTCATTGAAGTGACAATAGCTAGTCGCAAAAAGTAAATGCACGTAGACTAAGTGAAGGCAAAGAGTACTTAAAAATGTAAGATCTCTTTATCCTCGTTTGCCAGATTAGTTGGATCAAAGATCTCTGTCTTAGCTGGTTGTCAATGCCTCCTTCATTCTTTTAACAAACATCTTCAAGGGCACCCATTATTAGCAATGCCAGAAATTGTGTTAGGTTCCCAGGATACTAAGATCAGTGAGGCACAGTACAGTGCTTCCCTCAAAGGGACACAGTTGGAGGGTGGGTGAGAGAGGAGAGAGAGGCAAGCAAGTATCATTAAGTTTTGCAGGTATACAAGGCAAAAGTGAGGCACAAAGGTGGAGGATGGGGTCTCTGAAAAGCTTCAGGGTGAAGAGTAAGTTCAAATACCAGGAACCCAAAGAGTGAACGACTCCGGATGAGTTCACTGGGATTCAAACTCCTATCTTATATTCTCTAACTGTACTTGACCACGTTTAGATTTTATATATTAATATTTTATTACATAACTATATAATTTTATGAAGGGGGAAAAATGGTCTGAAAGAAAAATTTTACCCCTCTTTGTCTTTCTCCATTACGATTTACTTATTTTAAATTTATTTAAATAAATAAAATTAATTTGCAGTGATTCAATGTTCATTGTGGGTTTTTTTTTTCTTTAAGATTTTATTTTTAAGTCATCTCTATATCCAACACGGGTCTCGGACTTATAGCCCGAGATCAAGAGTTGCATGCTCTACCGACTGAATCAGCCAGGTGCCACTTAATGTTTAATTGTTAAACCTAAAGGTTATCAGTGAGACAGAAGCTGGCTGGTTGCCTCCAGTTTTCATGTGGCCCTTTGGGCACCATCAGTGCTGCCCTTCTGGTGCAGTCCAGATCCTTCTCTGCCTCCTGTCCCCCAACTCACACGTTAGGAAGACTTAAATGAGCAGCTTAGGGCCATGAGAGCAACTGCCAAGGAGGAGTATTGCCCAACCCAGGGCAATATGGTCTAGGAGTGGGTGTCTGCTCCCCAAACCAGGTACACTCTCCATGGTCATAATCGCCATGGAGAATTCAGAGCCCCAAAGGCAGTAGTAAAGCAAAAGAAATGAAGAAATGTCAGCTTAGAGAAAAAAAATCTTCAAAGGAAAAACCAGTTCTCAAGAAGAAATAGGATGGTTTTTAGAGGGCCTGAGGAGTGGGGAAGTAAATTCCTTTTCATAAAAGAAGCTATTTAACACAGTGGTTAAAAGCTACTTGAAGTGGAGAATTGGAGTTCTTGGTTATGCCAGTTAGTAACTGGGTGACCTGAAGCAAATCACTTAATTTTCCAAGTCTCAGTGATCCCATGTGGAAAAGGGTGGTCGTAGCCGCTGCTCAGAGTTGTGAAGATCATACGAGAAAACATACAGAGAGCACTCAGCACAAGCACACGATAAATACAAAGGAACCCAGAACCAAAAATGGTGTAATGTTTCACTGCTCTAAAAAAACAATATAAACTTTTAATTTTTTATCAAGAATAGAATCAAAGTAAATAGACTCTCGGAGTAAAATTGGAAATATTTCTATGAAATGACACTTTGGATTTTCTAGGGTATGGACTTTAAGGAATGAAAAGGCGGGGATTGAGCAACATCGTCCAATTTGCTATCTTTAAGATATAATTTGGAACCCAGAAATTTAAATCACCTGAAATTTCATTGTTTGGGGTCAGCCACTATTAGCATATTGCTATAGATCCTCCTTTTTTGTCTTTCTCACTACATACATTCTAAGATTTCCACAAATGACTAGTATCACATTTTTACAATCAGGAAAAAAAAATGAACATTATACAAAAGTATCTGAACTTCACTTAACTAAAAATTAAGAAAGGAAAAGAAAAGAAGAGAAGCGAAGAGAAAAAAGAAAAGAAAAGAAAAGAGAAAAAGAAATTTGCTTAGACGCTGGGATTTTAGGAATTTTGGTACATAACTAGAGTCAGAGAAAGGCCCAGATTTTCAACAAAGAGACAGTCCTAGAAGCTAGAGCTGAAATTAAAAACTCACATCAAAACAAAGAATGGCCTCCATATGGCAAGAAAAGGGTCACACACTTTTAAGCATTTCCTAAGCAGGCCATCATTGCAAGCATTGTTTTCCACACATTTGGTTTTAAAGAAAAGGGCTCATGAAAGAACCACTGTAGTCGGGGATAAGTTATTTTATTCTAGGAAGGGCATCCTTCCATTTCCTACTGAGACCTGGGAGAGATTTGTGGGCCATATTACTAGTATAGGTACTAAAAACTGTCACCAGGAGGAGCCACCGGAAGTGCACAGGAGGATGTAAGAAAAGTACCTAAATATCACAGGAGGCCTTCCATTCTTGTGTTTCACAAAGATCCCTTCAAGACATGCTCCAATGGATATGTCACTGCCTTGGCTATCCTGGAAGGAGAAAGCACAGAGAGCAGCAGTCTGGCAGCAGGTGCCTGAGAGGTGTGACAACCACACCCAGCTCCCTGGGCTGGGTTCCCAGACAAAAGATGCTCAGAAGATCTACACCGGAGGGCAAAGTCTGAACAGTATCAAGGAATCACCTTGTTAATAGCTATGAAAATAGGAAGCGTTGGGCTCCTTAAGGAACTAGACTTCAAGAGCATTTCAAAGAACAAACTGCAAAACAGGAATGTTTTACTGTGAAATTTTGGTCACAGGATCTCCGCTTTCAAGTTTCCAGCCTTCCGCACATCTCCCGCCTCGTCACAGCAGGGTGTCCCTGGGCCTCCCCGCTGTCCTCTCAGAGCTCCTGACATTAACCTGGAGAACCCCGGCTCTGCGCCATGCTCACCTTCGCAGGGTAGCTCTCTTCTCCGTAGCCATCCATTCTCTCTACCTCCTGCATGTACAGCATTTCCGCATCAGGAGCGGTGAGCCTTCTGCAACCCAAGAGATGGGAGATTGATCACCAAACCAGAAAGGGAAAAAAAGAACAAAAGGCTATTCTAAAAAGCTACATATCAATTTGGCATTAGACATTTACAAATATTTCAAGTTCTGAAGCATCTGAAGTTCGTTATACCAACCCATCGACATAGACTGAAAACCAGCTACGCGCACAGCACTGTGCTAAACCCTGAGGGTTAGTCATAAGGATCCTCTCCCCATACTTCAGGCAGGCAAGAGGGACACGGAGAATAAAACTGCCTAAAAAATCTTCACTGAAAGCTGGAATTCTTTCTAAGCCATTCAGTAACTGCTCATTATCTAAAATATCAGGCATTACTAAGCATCGTGTGCTAAATGTCAAATGACCGGTGCAGGAAATAAGGGTTAAAAGACTGTAAATTACGAGGATGGGTAGGAAGGCTGTGCGGGTGAAGAAGGTGCTCAACTGCATGGAGACTCGCCTCCCTGGCCTCATCCTCTGCTGCTCCCCCAAAGCCACAAGGCAGCCCACACTGCAACCAAGCCATGATGTTCCCTCATGCCTCTGGGCCTCTGTGCACGCTCATCCCTCTTCCTGGCACATCTGTCATTCACCCGTGCACCTGATCAATCCCTAACATCCTCAAAGAGTCGGCCTATGTTGTCCTGTGATTGCTCTGAGTGTAAGTCAGATGCCCCTGCTCTGTGCAGACCCACCACATTCTATGCACACCTCCCAAACTGCACTCATCTCACATTGTTAGTTTATAATTACTATCCCAATGGGTCATCCTGCCTGCTCTTTAGACTCCAAAGCAGGGAATACATTCTTTGATGGCAGGGAAGTGTTCTATTTATCTTCGTGCCACAACATCCAGCCTCATACAGAACAGTAGTACTGAACTATCTTTTTATTTTTTTTTAAAGATTTTATTTATTTAAGGATATAATCAGATAGACCTGGGCTCAAATCCCAGCTCTACCACAGGTAACTATGGGCAAGTGATTTAGTCCTTTTGAGCTTGGTTTTTCCAATCTGTAAGAAGAGAGTATCATTTACCTTAAAGAGTGGTTATAAGAACGTAATGACATCGAAAGTACTTGGAACCCTGTGGTACTTGGTTTAGAGGAAGACCCAGCATTCTCTGGGGGAGGATTTTTCTTACAGAAGGCACAACAGATGCACTACCAAAGAAAGTCATCACCGACCCAGAAGCAGGGGTCAGGGCAATAAGCACCACGCGGGGCTCTTGGCACAGATTCCCCCAGAAGACAGAGATGCAGTGTCCAAAGGTGTACCGGGGCGGCGGAGGGGGGGCCTATATGTGCTGCACCGTCAAAGAAAACAAGTCTCCCTGCTCTTGCATTAACCCACAAGGACTACACATGTTACCACCAAAACCTTTAACGGAGGAGTGAAGAAGTGGCGCCCTTCCCCAACTGGCGGCTTTCACTTTTCTCTGCTTCCTCACTGGTAAACATGGCTACTAAGTGAGCTGATAGGGGAAGCGCCCGGAGCAGCCCCTGGAGCACCATGAGTGTGCCACGCTGCTGGCGACCCACAGTCGCAGTCCCAGCTACGGCAGCGGTAAAGCGCCAAGTGTCACTGTGTTAATACACAGTTCACGGTCAAACCAGCTTCGCTTCCGTACTCTCGCCATTTCTTATTTCTTAGTATTACCTGTATTTCTGATGCAGTAAGGCCACTTTCTGGGTTGCTTCTTCCAATACTTTTTCATCTTGTAACCACCCCTGAAGAAAACACACTGCAGTAAGTATGGAAACAAGCCACTGACTGTTAGTGGCTCTTACCACTCTCGGGCAAAATTCGGACTAGTATCGGTATGTGGAAGATTTGCTTAAGTATGTGATCATGATCTTGCTAAGGAATGAAGTAGCTTCTGCTCAGGACCCAAAACACCTGCCCTGCCTTCTCAGTTCATCCCAGAGAAAGTTCCAGCTGAGTTATGTCAGGTCAGTAACGCCCATCAGCCAGTTCCGAGCCCAGCACATGTCGGGCACTGCCTGGCTGGCTGTGTAGACACTCAGAAGAGCATCGTACCCCGCTCCCTTCGTTGTTCCAATGCGGTTTTCCTGGCAATCACATCCATAGTGACTTTAAAAAGCAGAAAGCACTGTCCTTTTGCCCTCTACTTTTTACACTGCTACTGAGAAGCCAAACTCATTCCCACGTACCTGTGAGGTTTTGAGCCTTCAGGTAAAAGCAAAACCTCTGTGTGGTTGCTCAGAAGTTGGAAGTGAATCCCTCTCTTAGACTCAGACCCAAACACAAAACAAATCTCTCTGGCTGCAGCCCAGGGACTGCACACCCTTCCTTTTCTGTGGGTTACAAAGACCAGTGAGACTACAACGAGGGAAGCATCTACACTTGAGTTGTTTATAAGAGGCAAATGATTTTTTTAACACTCTTCCAGCCTAGTAAGTCTACCATATGGACTTCATTTCAGGCGATATTAAGGATATGGAAATCAACTATTTATAAAAAGCCCAATGTCAAAAGAAGTTCTTACCACAGGAAACAAGGCAAATTTCTGAAGAAAGTCCTGGGACTCATACTGATCAAAGTCACCAAAATCAGCTATACAAAATGACAAATATTCATGTCAATTATATTTAATTTGCACAGGAAAACATGCACAACTAAATTCAATATGCAGTATATAGATGGTATGCTTATGATTTAGAAGTCAAATGTGCCTTACAGCTATAAAGTGTGTATTTTAAAAAGTCTTTTTAAAAATATTAATTAGGTAGATTCGTGTGTCTTGACTTGGAAAAATGCCTACTAATAAAGTGAAAAAATAAGTTACAGACTATATGTATTATGATCTCATTTCTAATAATTAACAATGAAACAAAACATACTCTATAATCACATGTTCTTACTTATGCACAGGAAGATGTCAGGAAGAAACCAAACTGTTCATAGCAGTGATCACCTCTAGGGAATGGAATCAGATCACTTGAAGATGTTACAGCAAGATGTATTTAGAGATTTTTTGTTGTTTAAAAAAAAATGATAGTTCAGCAAAGACCTTATGAAAAGCTCTTAAAGCCAATGATTCTTCTGATTAAGTTTCAATTTCCAAGATTAAATGCCAGTTATCATTTGAAATAATGCCCCATCAGAAGTCGTCCCAAAGTATATACATACATGTAAATACATATTGACTAGACATGAAAAATAACAGAACCAAGTAATTCAAAATTACTTGTGAAATGCAAAACTTTATCTATTATGATTGACAATGCTCTATAATCCAGGACAAGTGCATAAGAAACCAAATAAATGGTGTACGCTTCGAGTATAAGTGAACAGAAGGGCACCTGTGTGGCTCAGTCAGTTAAGTGCCCAACTCTTGATTTCAGGTCAGGTGATGATCTTAGGGCCCTGGGATCGAGCCCTGCATCAGGCTCCACACTCAGCAGGGAGTGTGCTTGAGGTTTCTCTCCCTCTGTCCCTCCCCACCCCTCTCTCCGCAAAAATAAATAAATAAGTAATTAAAGGGAAAAAAAGTATAAGTAAAGATAACTTTATCAACCTCATTGTTTGATCTTTCTTCCTAAAATATTAGTTAGCTATAGATCAAGTCCCTGAACTAGAGGAATACATATTATCAAATGCTGTGTGTGTGTGTGTGTGTGTGTGTGCGCGCGCGCGTGTGTGTGTGTGTGTGTGTGTGTTCTCTAATTTTGGTCTGTTTGCTCTATTGACATATGCTAACATGCTTAACCTTTCGAAGTCTCTTATTTCACGGAAGTAATCCAAATTCATTTTTTCCTACAAGAAAACTCATTTCGCTAACACATAAACACTATTATAGAAACAGTAACTTTAAGAATCCCTTGCTGTTTTTGTTATAACACACATTTTTTTTAAAGATTTTATTTATCCATTTGAGAGAGAAAGAGAGTAAGGGGGAGAGAGAGAGTGTGAGAGTGCATGAGCGGTGGGGTGGGATGGGGCAGAGGGAGAGGGAGAAGCAGACTCTCCACTGAGCAGGGAGCCAGATGAGGGGCTCGATCTCCCAGGACCCCAGGATCATGACCTGAGCTGAAGGCAGACACTTAAAAGGACTGAGTCACGCTGGTGCCCCAAAACACTTTTTTTTTTTAAAAAGATCTTTATTTTTTTAAGTAATGTCCACACACAACATGGGGCTCAAGAGATCTGAGATCAAGAGTCGCATGTTCCACCGACTGAGGCAGCCAGGCACCCTTGTTATAACACACATCTTAATCTCATATATGTATTACATTATCAATTGCCATTATTTACCTTGAACAGCTAAGCCTGCTAGCTGAATTGCTTGTTCTAATGTACAAGGAATGTTTCCTTCCAAGATATCTTTCTTCAGCTGCAGATAATACTGATACCTACAAAAAAATGTCAATTTTAAAAAGTCAATATTAATATTACCTCCAATGGAGACACAGTGCATTTTACAGTAATTCAGTAGAGGAGCATAAACTAATCAAAGAAAACCTTAACCCCAGATGGCTTCAAAAAATGACAAGAATGCCCTTGACCATATCTATGCCTACACACACATAGATGGGCACGCGCGTGGGCATGTGTGGGCACACACAGACACACACAATGTAATCAATTTGTTGAGTCCCTTATCCGTAACTGTAGTTATTTCAAAGCTACAACCACCTAGGAGACAACTGCAACTGGTCACCTGTCTAGTGCCCTGTAAGACAGTTCCTACGTTTTGTTCTCTTCAGTTGGAGAAATAGAGAATCCATGGCTAATCTTTACTTTAAAAACTCTGACTAGTAACCCGGTAATACAAGACTTTGGTAGAAATTACTTGTTCTGATGGAGGTTCCCTAGCCCTAGAAAGTAAAGCCAAGAGAAAACACTTCCTGATATTTCAAACCAGCCTTATATTAAAATATTTTTTGATGAACTCTCCAAAAGAACAGCTGCTATGATGCTTTCTTAATATTCTTGTAATGTGGGTTTACTTCTGTTTATGCTTTCAACATCTAGGGCATGAGTTACCAGCACAAGCTTTTGTCAAGCAGATCTGGTTAAATTCCAGCTCCCCAATGTAGCATGTTGAATGAACTTGGGCAAATCATAATCTGTGGCTTTAAATGATCACCAGTAAAAGAGGGGTACGATCACCCCTTCACAAGATGGAACATATTAAGCAGTCAGCAGTGTTTCATCTGTATCTACTCCATTCTGACAAAGCTCTACAGTGACTTAATGCTGCCTTCCTTTTATTTATTCATTTAACCTATAATTACTAGGGCCTGCTATGCATCAAGCATTGTGCTAGATGCTGGGGATACAATGTTGGATGAAGATCCACCACCTCTCTGCCTGTATTGTCGATAGAGCCATCTTGAATCCAGGTTCTCTCCCAGGTTTGGCATCTGTGAAGTACAACCTAGTGACCATTTGTATTTGAATTCCCCTTGGAGCCCATCCCTTTCATCATTTCATAGGTTTCCTAACATCATCCTCTTTTATTTTAGCTAGCTCTGAGGTCTCCATTCTTCATTACCCAAAAACCTGACCAAAACACCATCCATTCAGATGAGAATTTAGATCCAACTGATGCCCTTCCGCCTGCTAGTAGCGGAACCCATAGATTTCCCTCAAATGAGAAGCAGGACGCTGGTAGCTCTGGGATCTAGTCAAAGAAGAAAACTTCACACCTTCTTCGAGGCAGCTCCTTTCAGAAGCCTATTTAAAGAAGGTTGTATTGAGAGAAGTCTATCTCTTGAACACGCCATCCACATACGCCACTCGAAATATATTCTAGGTTCTTTCCTTAAACCAAATCACTGGAAAGCAACATACTGGACCAAATTAATTTAGTCTTCCACAGAAATGTGGTTTTGTTTTGTTTTGTTTTGCTTTGTATTACAATTTTTTATTGTAAGAGTTGATTCCTCCATAGTTGCTCTAAATTGTTCATTCCTGTTCAATGTCTTTTACATAAATCCCACCTGAAAACTTCCTTTTAAATGATACACCAAGAAAATCTGTCATGTTTGCAAACTGATATGCTTTTTATCAGATAATGGATGATGGGACTCAGAATATTCCTTCTTTTGCCTTGACTGCCATGAAGCTCAGAGCTAGAATCCAGGCACAGGCACATTGTTTCCCCTCTCGTTACCCTCTTAACCACTGGTCCACCATATAATAGCAGCCACCTGAACTGATGAGGCACTGAAGCTCAGACATGAAGTAATATGCTCAAATCCACAAAGGGAGGCTGAGCTGGAGTGTGAATCCAGGTCAGAATGACTGCAAAGTACATATGTGTAACTGTCACAGATCTCCAGTTAAGGACTTTTCTAGTATTTTTATCCTATCTCTTTAGTTTTTTTATCCTAGAGTCCATATGAATACAATGGTTGAAAGCAAGGACTCAGGAGTCAGCCTACTTGAGTTTAAATCCCAGCTCCACTACATACTGGCAGTGCGACCTTGGGCAAGATAGTTAGCCTTTCGGTCTTTCCGTGTCTTGGCTTCCTCAACTACAAACTGGACAGTAATACCTACTTTGTAGGATTTGTTGTGAGGATTAAATGAATGATTAAGTATAAAGTGCTTGGAACAGTGCCTGACATAGAGTAAGAAAGGGAAGTAGTTGCTCTTATTATTATCTTTCATTGTATTGTCCCTAAAATCCTTTAGTGGAAGCAAGCAGGGTGTGTGTATATCTATACACATGCATATGTATGTGTATATGTTTATATACATGTATGTGTGTATCCACATGTGTATATATATATGTACGTATTTACTTAAAAGGACCAAGAAATTTTACTTCAAAGGTATTATCAGTTTTTTTTTTTTAAAGATTTTATTTATTTATTTGAGAGAGAGAGAATGAGAGATAGAGAGCATGAGAGGGAAGAGGGTCAGAGGGAGAAGCAGACCCCCTGCCGAGCAGGGAACCCGATGCGGGACTCGATCCCGGGACTCCAGGATCATGACCTGAGCCGAAGGCAGTCGCCTAACCAACTGAGCCACCCAGGCGCCCCTGTCAGTTTTTTTTTTTTAACACTTTTTGCTAAATTATAATATGTTGGTGAGGCTAAGGATGGCTTACAAATATGTTTTTTCAATGTTTATTACAAAAAGAATAATTAAAAAACAACGCAGCAATAAAATGTAACATGCAAACTTTTATTCCTTACAGTTCTGAATTCAAGAAACTGCACATCTTAATTCTATTTTTTTTCTAAAGATTTTATTTATTTGTTTGAGAGTGAGAGAATGATAGATAGCATGAGAGGGAAGAGGGTCAGAGGGAGAAGCAGACTCCCTGCCGAGCAGGGAGCCCGATGTGGGACTCGATCCTAGGACTCCAGGATCATGACCTGAGCCGAAGGCAGTCGCCCAACCAACTGAGCCACCCAGGCGCCCTGCACATCTTAATTCTAAACAAACATTCCATAAATTCGCCCAAAGCCAAATGCTGATTACAACTAAATGGGTAAGTTTTATCTAAATCTTACCAACTTATCAACTTTCTAATATAAAATATTAACAGATAGAGAACAAGTCCAGTGAACCCACACATCCTTATCATGCAGCCTCAAACATCAACTTGATCCACGCCCTGTTTCTTCCACCCTCTCTCCTTCCCCACCCAAGGGCTTTACATCAAATCCCAGATATCATAGTACAGCACCTACAAATATTTTAGTATATATCCCTAAAAGGTAAGCTTTAAAAGAACAAACACACACACATTTTTAACATACCCAACAAAATGAGCAATAATGCCCTAATGCTACCCAATACCTGGTCCATGTGCAACTGTTGTGATTGCTTCAAAAATGTATTTTTTTTTTAAAGATTTTATTTTTAAGTAATCTCTACAACCAACATGGGGCTTGAACTTACAACCCTGAGAACAAGAGTCACATGCTCTACCGGCTGAGCCAGCCAGGAGCCCCTCAAAAATCTATTTTTACAGTTTAAAAAAAAAAAATCAGGGTCTAAACAAGTTCCACAGAGTACATTCGATTGACATTTCTCTCTTAATTTCAAAAAGAAAAACTCCTCCTCTTTATTTTCATGTTACTTGTATTCAAAATGGTGTGATGGGTCATGTAGAAGTCCCCACATTCTGGATTTGTCTGATTGCACTCTTGTAGGGTCATTTAACATGTTCATCTAGTCTCCAATTCTTCCCGTGAACTGCTAGGTTTAGAGCAGTGTTGTCTAACAGAACTTTCTGCAGTGATAAAAGTGATGTCTATCTGTCCTGTCCAATATGTTAGCCATTAGCCACATGCGGCTACTGAGTACTTAAAATGTGGCTAGTGTGACTGAGGAACTGAGAAAGGCCTCGTAAAGGAACGTGACCTTGCTGAGTAGAACCCATTTTACCCTTTTGCTGCCTGGAATACGAATGTAATCGCGAGACCTCCAGAATTCTTTGACAATGAGATTCCGTAACACAAGGAAAGAACGTGCTGAGGAGGGTGGAACAGTAAGAAAGAGCATGGGTCCCTGAAGACTTTGTGGAGCATGGCTGACCTCTGGACTTCCTTTAAGAAATTAAAGATATTTAGGGTTTTTGGTTATACTAGCCAAACTTAATCCTCACTGGTACAACTTCTCTAACAGGTTCTCTTACACCTCATCGATGTGCACTCCTACTGACTGCATCTACCAGGCCTGTCTCCCTCTCCTTCCTACAGCTAATGCCTTTGTTCAGGTCCACATTCTCGATTAATGTCTAGGTTGTGGCACATACATTCCTAACTGCTCTCCTAAGTATGTATATAGTCTTGCCACCTCTAAGCTGCCTTCCATGATGGGTGAAGTTGGTAAAATACAAATGTCATCTTTCCATTCTGTTAAAATTCGAAAATGTCTTTCCCTGTTGTACCACGACTATGAGTAGGACATTCCTATTTTTCAAATCTCCTCTCCCCTCTCCAGGTAATATCTGAAATTTCCAGAAAACATCAGTGACTTTCATTCTCTCCCCTACTCTGTACAAGCTACCCACTCTAACTAGAAAACTCCTAAAGTCAAGTGAAAAGTTAACTTCTTTTTCTTCCCTTTTCTTATTCCCCGTGCCCCACCCCTAGGAATCTAGTGTTTTAACGAAAGCATTTATCATCATAATATACAGTCATTGTTTATTTACATGGGCTGTCAGTTCCACCAGACTCTGAGTAACTCCTCCAGGGTAGGATTAAAGCCTATTCACTTGTATATTCATCTCCCACAGTAACAAATGTTCTTACATCATCCTGTTATATCTTCAATGAATGTTTGAATAAATGAGTCAGTGATCAGTTACTATTTTTCCTCCCGGGTTCTACTTCTCTCTTCATCTCAGATCAGTTTTATAGTCGGGGCATATTTATCCCTACTACCTGATTCTTGCTTCTTTGGTTTTCGATCTTCTTCCGATAATTAACTGGCCGAATCAGTACTCAAAAAGAATATTACACAAACACAGGGCAGTACCAGGTTCTTACTATCTACAGGGCACTGTGTTAGATATTATGTGAAAGGTAAAGCTAAGGAAAACAGGTTTAAAATCCAAGAAAAGATAGGATCTGTACACAAACAACTATAAGGAAAGGCTATAACAGCTTCCATCTTAACACAAGTACAAGCGAACTGTAGGGCAGTCTGGAGAAGGCAAAGGTCATTCCAGCCTAGGGATGACAGAAACTTCATGGAGGAGGTGCCTTCTGAACTAAAATTCAGAGGAAGAGCAGAATTCCAGTACATAAATAAGAAAGATCTAGGACCCAAAGATGAAAAGGCGTGCGGCATGTTCAGGGCACTGGGAGTAGTCCAGCTTGGCTGAAAAGTAATGTTAAATAGGGTTCAAAAGATAAGGTAATGGTGGATTTGAGAGAACTTGAAAGGCAGACTCCCGGATCCAAATTTTATTCCTAGTTTTGTGTTTTGTCTTCAAGGAAAAAAAAATATATATATATAGTTCCTCTATCCCACTCCTTAATCTGATCTTCCCTTTCTGACTTTGTCCCTTCTAAGTGCACTTAGTGGCCTCTTCTTCTACCCTGACACATTCACCCTCCCACCTATCTACAGAACATACAGCTCCTAGAGCCAGAGAACCAGAAGAACCCTTCTGCACATTTCCCTGAGGAATGAACACAGAATCTGCGACTTTTTAAAATCTCCTCTCTCATTTCAGTGTTACAAAGATCAGAAACAAATCAACAAAAAATTTGAAGAGGACATCACTACAAGAAGAGTTCACAGCCCGGAGAAAAACATCATCTTCCCCTTTAATCGCTCCTTTGTGCCTAGTGAAACCATAACTCATGCAACATGCAGTAAAACACTCTGATACACCACATACCACAACCTCCATGTAATAATGTGGCTGCATAAGTGTGCAGGAGGGCCACGTTTAGTCTGATCTTCTGCCTTCAACCTTAGTGTCCCCTTTTTCATCTCATCAGATTATTTCCTAAAAACAAAGAACGTGTTATTTCTCACCTGGTAATCTCCTGCTGCAGCTGTGAAACTGAAGGCACATAAAACACCACTCCAAAATAGACGGTCGGTTCCAGTGCATATTTATCCAGCTGCTTCTTAAGAGGTTTTTCCAAATCTACCCACCGGCGCTGATTTTGCTTGTTGTGGTACCAGAGGCTGAAGTAAGTGATCTGGAAAGAGGGAAAATCACTGAAGAAGGCAGAAATGTACAAGAGAATTTCTTTTCTTCTAATTGCTCTGATCCACGACCTGGGACCAAGTGACAGCAGTCTCCTATTTCTCTTCTCAAAAAGGGATACCACCAAAGCCTGAAGAAAAGATGCAAGACCTCTTTCTCTCTCTCTCTCTCTATATATATATCTAGATACTCACATGCAGGAAAAAGAGGTGAAAAGTCAACTACTCTTGCAAACTGCTCCTTGAACTCTGCACAGAAAATGCATTCACGGTCTAGACATCAGAACGTAGCAGGTGCTACACCATCTTACAGAGTTTTAACAACAACAACAAAAAAACATACACTGAACAAATGTTTAGTTTTAAAATTATCAAAATACTAAATGTATCCTAATTGATATTTCATAAGTATAATTGGGGTTTTATCTAGAATACTGATTAGACAGTATTAATCCAACTTTTCACTACTCTTGAATTTGGCTTCTATACATAAATTATGTCATGTAAATATTGTAAATTCTACAAATATAGGTACAACTGCAACTCTTCTTTGCCCCCAAAAGTTTATTAGATACAAATTTAATGCAGTCATAACATTACAGAGGTAAATTCTCACACATACACAAAAAGCTCTACATAAAGCAAAAGGATAAGTGTATCAGTTGAAGGTTTAAAAAAATGTCCAGATATTAGCATTTAGATCTCACTCGCTGGTTAATGAAACTGTTCGGGGAAATCGATGCTAGCTCTGGGCTTGGTCAACCTGAAAGGTTATTAATGCACTTAAGCATTGAAATGACAGCCTCGGGCCACTGCTGATATTTACTTCAAAATCAGTTTACAGATCAAGGCAACTGGAAAAATTCCCTGCTTTGTTCTGGACCCTAGAGCAACACAGATGAACAGAACTTTCTACGATGATGGAAATATTCTGTCTCCAAAACAGCAGCCACCAGCTGCCTGTGACTATCGAGCACCTGGAATGTGGTTAGTGCAGCTGAGGAACTAAATATTTAATGTTATTTAATTTTAATTGACTTAAATTAAATAGCTGCAAGCATCTAATGGCACTGTATTGGAAAATATAGCTTTAGAGCAACAATAAAATGAGAAATAATAATATTCAGGCTATAATTTTAATCTGTGATCCTCATTCAAATAAAAAATGAATTTTTAATTTACAGGGAAAAAGTAATTATACAAACATACCTTTAATATTCATTTCATCTTACAATTTTGTTACAAGGGAAGTACTATACCTTTAAAATGAGTCTATTAATCAAATAAACTCAACAAAAGTGAGGAATGTGTCCATTTCCCCTTTATAACCAAACAGCCAGAATAGCGCTGGAATTCAACAAATTTTGTTGAAAAAACAAATATTCTCTTGCTTCTTACTTGCCACCGAAGCCATCACATACGAATGAAATATTCTGAACATTTATTATGTACCAGGTTCTGTCCCAAGAATGACAACAATATCATATATTAAATCACCACAACCATCTTATGAAACAGATATTGTGTGTATGAAACACTAAAGCCAGTGTTTGTCTAAGGATTGTCCCTGGACCACTTCTACCAGAATTACCTGGAGAGCTTCTTGAGCTCTACAGAGCTATTCAACTCCCAAGTAATTCCTGTGCCCATTCATGGGTGAAACCATCACACTACCCTACACTGCCCCTCTAGCATTATACCAGAGATACTGTATAAACAACCTATCCTCAAAAAGCTGCATAGAAATCACATTTTTTAAAATCCAAACACACTTTAATATAGCAACAAGTCTGAGTCTTACTGTGAATTATTTTCTGAAGTTATAATTATGTTTATAAAATGAATTACATGTTACATGTAAGGATAGAGTATCTATCACATTTATAGAAAAGAGGTACTAATTCCTTCTTTCTTTTGAGCTGCAATGTACGAAAAATCTCATTTAACAAAGAAACTGATGCTTAAAGTCTGAAGTCCTGGGTTTAATTTCTAACTGTCACTTGCTAACTGGAAGTGGAAAGGTCAATCAGACCAATCCCATTTTCTCAAATGTAAAAGAAGGTAATAATAAGTGTTAGTAATACCTCCTTCACACCTCCACCATGGGAATTCAATGCAAAACTTAAATGAAAGCATTTTACCACTAGAAAACCACTATTTTTTTTTAGATTTTTATTTATTTATTTGAGAGAGACAGAGATAGCAAGAGAGAGCATGAATAGGGAGGACAGGGAGAAGCAGGCTCCCTGCTGAGTAGGGAGCCTGATGAGGGCTCAATCCCAGGACCCTGAGGATCATGACCTGAGCTAAAGGCAGATGCTTAACCGAATGAGCCATCCAGGTGCCCCTAAAAAGATTTATTTATTTTAGAGAGAGCGAGGGCAGAGGATTAGAGGGAGAAGGAGAGAAAATCTCCACCAGACTCCCCGCTGAGCGCAGAGCCAACACAGGACTCATCTCACAACCCTGAGATCACAACCTGAGCTGAAATCAAGAGTCAGACATTTAACCAACTGAGTCATCCAGGTGCCCTGAAAATCATTGTATTTTTAAAAGATTATTTAGTTTGCCCACTCTACTAAACATCAGCAAAATAAATTATATACCCAACTCAAAAATAATTTTCTAGGGGCACCTGGGTGGCTCAGTCGTTAAGCATCTGCCTTCGGCTCAGGTCATGATCCCAGGGTCCTGAGATCGAGCCCTGCATCGGGCTCCCTGCTCGGTGGGAGGCCTGCTTCTCCCTCTCCCACTCCCCCTGCTTGTGTTCTCTCTATCACTGTGTC